TATTTTAGTTATCAAATATGTGGTCTACAGAAGAGTGTTGATATTTCTTATTGTTTCATCAGCCAGTTACAAAACTGTGTAACTCATTCAGGAATGTACGTTTGAAAGCACGAAAATATATGATAGCTACATAGTAGATATTTAGTTTTTACTTCTGTATACATGTTGAACTAAAACATGTCTTTGTGTAAAAGTCTTTCAGAGCTGAAATAATCAAAGGTACAAGTTGTTTTAAGTTCTTTAGGACAGACCTGTTAAATGATATTCAATGAAGTCATTCACAGAGTCCACATTGAATTTGATTAAACTGGAAGATTCCTGGATCCAGGAAATAAAATCATTTACAGTAACTTAGTGTACCATCTGGTTGTTGTAAATCAGGTTATGTTATAGCAAATAAAACTAGATTGTAGCTAATGTGTAGAAGGGTTTCATTGACTCTTTCAGATCTGTTTTTGGTCCTCTGCCTTGAATACAAGGGGAATTCTGATAACTAGCTATGAAGGCCTTTCTAAGCATATATTCAATCATAGTGGGGAAACAGGGTCAGGGCCCCATGGTGACATATTATTTGCATTCCAAATTTCTATTGTACACAAAAATGCAGTGGCCCATTCTACAAGGAAAGCCAAATGCTCTTTACTTCTGGACTGTGGAGATCAGTTTTTATCTTCTACAAGCTTGTTTTTATGCCTGGTCATGGCCAGGGTGCTTCCTCTCCTCTACGAGGTTCTCCATCTCTCTCTGCTCAGCTACCCTGTCAGACCTCTGTGACACCAGCAGCACTTTAGATTCCTACTCATGCCCAATAGAATTTCTATTGGTTGAGAATCCCCTCTCAGTTTTTTGTAAGCCTCTTTAGGAACTATGAAGGGACTTTGAAAAGTCATGGAAAAATGTAATTAAAATCTGAGTTTATTTTGGTGCAAATAAATAAATCATGGATTTTTTAAAAATATGCATTCTCCATGAAATTTTGAAGACCTCCTCCCATATAATCCTTGCGGTTTCCTTAGTTTTTGAGTCTGTGTATTTGAATGCTACTAAGCAGAAACTTACTTTTTTCTCTCCAGATCTGAATGGCATAGACCTAACACCTGTACAGGATACTCCTGTGGCTTCAAGAAAAGAAGATACATATGTTCATTTTAATGTGGACATTGAGATCCAGAAGCATGTAGAAAAATTAACCAAAGGTTTGCAATCATACATAATTGGATTCTTACAGAGTTCTCACCTTACTCAGGCTCTTGTACACAGTGGATCTAGCCCAGCTGGTACCTAGTAGAAGTAAATGTCACATCACGTTTCTTGATTCAAATAAAATAAACATTTTTTAAAATGGGATTACAAATTGTATTGGGTCATTGAAAAAGTCATGACGTATTTTTCTATGTTTTTCTGTGCAAAAAGGTGTCATGACTTCTGAGGATCCCCAATATCTAGTTGTATAACACTGTTATACAATAAAATGTTCTTTGATAGTAAAATTTGGTTGTCTTTAACAACAAAATGTTTTTCTCGTACCAAAGGGCTGAGAGAAGCAGCAGCTCTCTTGGGCTCCCTAATGATTACGTCTCTTAACAGTCGAATTTATTAGATAGAGACCATGACTTGCAGTTTGTTGGCAGACAGATGGGAAAAGAAAAGCAGATTTTGAAACAGTGAAGTTACATTTTCAAGTTAAACAGTCTTTAAATGGTTTCTCTCATGCCTTTTGCCCAACGGACAAAATATTCCCCGTAAGACTTTAGAATCCTTTTATCACGAGGTTTAGTTGTAGTTTCTGAATTTTCCAACTCTGCAGAACCTTATAAAGATGTCTAAGTGCCATGTGAAACAATTGCCTCGGCTTCTACAATATTTGTTATTTTACTTCTCAAATCTATTGCTGCTGCCTCCACCGTTTTACTTCCAAGAGACCTCCTTTCAGCACCTCTGTCAGAGGAATGGTTTTCAAAGTGCAACCTCCGAGCAGCAGCATCACTCAGAACCGTGGTGGGTGCCAGTGCTCAGGCCCCACCTCACCCTCCTGAGTCCAAACCTGTGGGGCAGGCCACAGCAGTCTGTTTCACACGGCCTTCCAGGTGATTCTGTACATGGTAAAGCTGGAGTCACTGTGCTAGAACAATCTGAAGATACGAAGTGCTTGTTAGTAAGTTAATAATGAAGAGATTTCAGTATGGAGTATAGCTTCTGAATATAAAAAAGATCACTTTTTATTTTCATTAATTCCACTACTTTGAGAAATGTTTACAAGGTGTTTTTCATGGATTAACTTTTCTATGTTATTATGCTGTGTTCTTTCTTGGTGATTTAACAAAATGCTAAAAGTAGAACTATGTGTACTCAGAATATGACTAATAGTTTTCTCCATATTTAAACTATTACTTAGTTACTGTTGCTTTAACCTATATTGATGCTAAAGAACATACTTTCATATTTACAAGCCTTTCTATTAATCTTCTTAGTATATTCTCATGTCACATTTTGTTATTATAAATAGCATGAATTATAGAGCTCTGCATATCAGGGGTGCAAAATATATTACTTACCAGCAATACAGATAAATACACTTTTTTAACTTCCTCAAAATATTGGTAACATATTTGGACTTCTTCTTTTTTAGATTTTTGCCATAGGGTGCATGCACTTGCCAGGGAAAATGAGAAATCACCTTTGGGGATATACCACACTGCAGTCCCTTTTCTTGGGATTTTGGAACACATGCACACATGCCTGGTGTGATTTTCAAGCCACCATGTCCAGGACTCAAGTCACTGAGTTGGCCACATGGGATACCCCTACCTTAACCTCCATACCACCTGCTGGCACCATATATGAACTTAGCATTACTTTCCAATGTGACTTTATTTTCACATTTATGACCTAAGACACAATCATGATGAGAAGGAGATGGGCACCAGAGCTAAAATGATTGAGAAATGTGATCTCTTAAAAATCTGAGGTTTTTGGGAACCAGCAGTTAGCATAATGGCTATGTCGCTGGACTCCCATGTAGTCGACCGCGGTTTGTGTCCTGGAACCGGTGGCTTAAAACTCATGCCGGGCGCGTGTGCGTGCGTGCCCAAGATCCCAAGAGGAAAATGGAGGAGAAGGGATTGCGGCATGACCATCCCCTCTGGGGGGTGATTTCTTGCTTTCTATCTCTATGTCTCTGTCTGGCGAGCGCATGCACCCTATAGCAAACAAAACAAAACAAAACAAAAACAAAAACAAAAACTCTCAAAAAAAAATCTGAGGTTTTTAAATAATAAAATATCTCTATTATTGCTATGGAAAGAAGTGACTCTTGTGAATATGGCAGGGTTGTACATCTCATTCAGATATAGAAGAGTTTGGTGTGACAACCACAGTTAAAATTACATCATCAGAGATTTTGTTTGACACAGGTTAAAATTATACCAACTCTTACTCATTTGTATGCTTCTAGTGATTAGAAGAAAGTAACTGATACACAAGAAATGTGCTGTGGCTTATGTGGTTGGTTTTAATTCCTTAGGTGCAGCTATCTTCTTTGAATTCAAACACTACAAACCTAAAAAAAGGTTTACCAGCACCAAGTGTTTTGCTTTCATGGAGATGGATGAAATTAAGCCGGGTCCAATTGTAATAGAACTGTAAGTGATATGTATATGGAATAAGTAAGGATTTAATGATTACTAGTATATCTTTATCTTTAGTCTTCTTATACCACTTATAACCTTGAAATAGATTAATCTTCACAGTATTTTAAACAGTGGTTTTTCTGTTGTGGTTACAGGTACAAGAAACCCACTGACTTTAAAAGAAAGAAATTGCAATTATTGACCAAGAAACCACTGTATCTTCATCTACATCAAACTCTGCACAAGGAATGATCCTGACATGAATAACCTGGAACGTCTGTGAATTTTACCACCCAGTAGGAACCATCATAGCTGTGTAGCATAGTCATCCTTCAACAGGCAGGAAGCAAGCCGTATCCATGTCAGTAGGCCAGAGTGAGTCTATTGCAAAGCTGTCCCATGGACTTCAAAGTCCAGCACATCACTGACATGTAAGACTCCTTTGGATACAGGCTTATTGTAGATTTTGAGATGTGTTCTCCCTTTTCTATTAATTGTGCTATTAATAGTCTATTTTCTAACTTACCACTTGTCCTGCCCTGCTTCCTGGAACAATACTGTCGAGGGTAGGATGTGCTCATCTACAAACGTATTAATACAGCAATAAGAATGTGCTCGAGTTTACACATCTGGTCACTAACTCTGACATGCTCTTTTGGTTTGAGTTAACTTCTGAGAGTAGGATGGAATCAAACTGCTCTGAGAAGAACTGGACCCATTTTGCTACCTAAGAATATCTGTCTGGAAATGAAAGGTCCTCAGAAGTGGCCCCAGTTCACCCTGCTCTGAGAGTTTTCCTGTTGAGAAACAGCGTGCCTTGGCCAGATCAGTATCCCACGTGGGAGTATTCCATGGGTTGTAGCTGTGATATTTTCCAGATGACCAGACTGTTTTTCTGAATGTGAGCATATTTCTAGCCATGTTGATTAGCTGTTCTACATCACCTTGTTATTCTTTCTAATGATGACTCTAGGGTTAACAGAATCTCAGAATAATCACCAATTTTGGATGGGTTTACAATGGGGTCTTCTAAATCATATAATCAAAGCCAGTTGAGTCAGATGCTAATGAGATACTGCAGGAATAACTGCTGTTTTTTCTGACAACTGATTGTGAAACCTTCAAACCTGCATACCTCTTATAGTGATGAGTATGCAAAAATTTGGAAAGATAATCTATTTTTTATATAGGTAGACAGGATTGCCATTTATTTCCTATTTAGATATACTGACATTCATCCATATGAAAATATGCAGGTCATTAGCTTATAATTTGACTATTTACTTTTGACTTAATGATGGAGCGGGCATAAATAAAACTTTCATAGTGTGATTAGAAGAAAGTAACTGATACACAAGAAATGTGCTGTGGCTTATGTGGTTGGTTTTAATTCCTTAGGTGCAGCTATCTTCTTTGAATTCAAACACTACAAACCTAAAAAAAGGTTTACCAGCACCAAGTGTTTTGCTTTCATGGAGATGGATGAAATTAAGCCGGGTCCAATTGTAATAGAACTGTAAGTGATATGTATATGGAATAAGTAAGGATTTAATGATTACTAGTATATCTTTATCTTTAGTCTTCTTATACCACTTATAACCTTGAAATAGATTAATCTTCACAGTATTTTAAACAGTGGTTTTTCTGTTGTGGTTACAGGTACAAGAAACCCACTGACTTTAAAAGAAAGAAATTGCAATTATTGACCAAGAAACCACTGTATCTTCATCTACATCAAACTCTGCACAAGGAATGATCCTGACATGAATAACCTGGAACGTCTGTGAATTTTACCACCCAGTAGGAACCATCATAGCTGTGTAGCATAGTCATCCTTCAACAGGCAGGAAGCAAGCCGTATCCATGTCAGTAGGCCAGAGTGAGTCTATTGCAAAGCTGTCCCATGGACTTCAAAGTCCAGCACATCACTGACATGTAAGACTCCTTTGGATACAGGCTTATTGTAGATTTTGAGATGTGTTCTCCCTTTTCTATTAATTGTGCTATTAATAGTCTATTTTCTAACTTACCACTTGTCCTGCCCTGCTTCCTGGAACAATACTGTCGAGGGTAGGATGTGCTCATCTACAAACGTATTAATACAGCAATAAGAATGTGCTCGAGTTTACACATCTGGTCACTAACTCTGACATGCTCTTTTGGTTTGAGTTAACTTCTGAGAGTAGGATGGAATCAAACTGCTCTGAGAAGAACTGGACCCATTTTGCTACCTAAGAATATCTGTCTGGAAATGAAAGGTCCTCAGAAGTGGCCCCAGTTCACCCTGCTCTGAGAGTTTTCCTGTTGAGAAACAGCGTGCCTTGGCCAGATCAGTATCCCACGTGGGAGTATTCCATGGGTTGTAGCTGTGATATTTTCCAGATGACCAGACTGTTTTTCTGAATGTGAGCATATTTCTAGCCATGTTGATTAGCTGTTCTACATCACCTTGTTATTCTTTCTAATGATGACTCTAGGGTTAACAGAATCTCAGAATAATCACCAATTTTGGATGGGTTTACAATGGGGTCTTCTAAATCATATAATCAAAGCCAGTTGAGTCAGATGCTAATGAGATACTGCAGGAATAACTGCTGTTTTTTCTGACAACTGATTGTGAAACCTTCAAACCTGCATACCTCTTATAGTGATGAGTATGCAAAAATTTGGAAAGATAATCTATTTTTTATATAGGTAGACAGGATTGCCATTTATTTCCTATTTAGATATACTGACATTCATCCATATGAAAATATGCAGGTCATTAGCTTATAATTTGACTATTTACTTTTGACTTAATGATGGAGCGGGCATAAATAAAACTTTCATAGTACACATGAGGTGGATATTTGATACACAGAACTTAAGATTTGTGGTGTGCTTTCTGTGGGTTAGATATAGAACCCACGTATTTGAATATTCACTATTTTAAATGAGCAATGCATGAGGGGAATGCAGTGTCAGTACCTGGCCTATTTTTAAACTAGTGTAGTAACTCTAGTCATACAATTCAGTATTGTTTGCTTTTTAAAATAGCCATAATTAAGTTTTTTAGCCCTCATACTTCAAGAGATCTAGTCTTTACTTTCAGTTGTCTATTAAGTCAATTTTGTTTACTACATGGATGTTAATAAAAACTATGAGCCTGAAAGAACTCTGAACCAAATTTAGTCTTGTGTCCCATCTTGACTGGATTAACTCCAAATTCTAAAATGATTCCATTCACAATAGCTCTAGGGGATGAAGAATTTGCCTTAATAAACTGCTTTATTCACTCAACTCTCTAGAGTTGTCATAGCCCCAGACTGTAAGCTCCTGAGGGGGCAAGAACTGAATTTTCTCCATGTCATGTAAATTCCCTAAGGTGCTCAGCAGCACTCTGTACCCTGTGGAGTACTCAGTACCTTTCGTCTGATGTTGCTGACAAGACCTACAAAATAATCCCTTAAAAACCTACTATTAAAATGTAGCAAAACTGATATACTGTTCTCTTTCTTTTCTCACAAACTGTGAGACATGTGTATTAAAGTGATCATTTATAATTCATATAAAATTATATATGAAGAAGCATTTGGTATCCTTCACATAAGTATGGTTTATAGGGACTACTGGATCATAAGAAAAGTTGTGACACATTTTTGCCTAGAAAAACTTAGAAAAATACATTATGACTTTTCTGACGACCCAGTATAAATGCCTTTAATCAATATTAAAGTAGCTCAAATTGAACACTATATGATTAGCTTAACTCTAATTCAGACCAAAACAAAATGGCAAAAACAGGGACTGTCTTGAGGATCCCTATTTTATGGTCATGACACATCATTTTCATTTTTGTTATGCACCTTAATGCAAGAATGGTAAACAAACCAAATACCAGGTCAACTCCTGCTACTAGTGTAATCTCACACTCAGAAAACCATTCTAGGTAGGCAGTGAGGGTCATAAGAAAGCACGTAAGTGCTGCACAAGTAGGACCACTGAGTGACGGGAAAAAGGAGCATTTGCAGGTGACTTTGATGCTGACCCTCAGCAGTGAGCAGCAGGGCACGTGCTGTCAGGGTGCCGGCTTCAGTTCAGGAAGCCAGGGTCTATGTGTTTCCCTGGCACAAGTCTCATGGCAGTGTAATGAAGCAACAAACACTTGGGCAGTATGAATAAACAAATTTTTATGAACTATTACTACAAAACTTCAGCAAGAGGGGAGATAAAGTTTAGTGATTATTTTTTCAGTAAACATTTAGCGTAACAGTCTTTGCGACCAGATATTTTTTTTAAAAAAAAAATCAAGCTTATAAACACCATTGCTCTGTTTTCAACTGGTGTACACTTCAAATAAGATAATGGAAATACATGTTCTTAAAGCATTTCCACAGGAAATGTTCATATTCTTCATGACATTCAAATCATTTTGCAATTACATATGCTACATTAACTAAAACACAGGTATTCTTTATTGCACATTTCAAAATTGTAAAGACGCTCTAGCTTACGAGGTGATTTTTATTTAGGAGGGAAAATATTCTTTAAATGTTTGGCTCAAAAATGCATGCTGCCAAGGCAGCTTAGTTCTAAAAACAACCTTTTAAGATAAACTTTTGGATTTGAAGCCAATGTATTCCTTTACCATAACCAACAGTGCAGTCCCCTTCTTCTCTGACTAAACATCAGAGGTCATAGTTATGGGCTCTGTTTCAGAGCCTGTGAACAGTCCTGGCTACTGCTCTGAGAAGCAGGTGGAGGCTCATCTCTAGAACTTGAAGGCAGTGAGTCTCTTGCAGCAGGTGATGAAGGGTAATCCTGTGGGCCGTGGGTTGGGGGTGGTAATCGAGTACTAGGAATGAAGTACTCTCTTGGCCCAAGAGGGCCTAAAGGTCTAAATGGTGTGTGTCCTGGTAAAAATTCCCGAGGGTCAGGAGGCAGGTCCCGTTTTCCAGGTGGAACTCCTGGTGGATACTCTCTTAAGCCTAGTGGTGGACGCATAATAGGACCTGGAAAACAAAAATCAGGACATGTATATACCTAGGAATGTATGTAAATTAAGATGACTCCAGGTACAATGATACATTTACTTTCTCACAACCCTAGACAGTCAAGTGGTGGGATCCCTACTTTATAGATGAGGCAGACTGAGGCTCGGCAAGTTTCAGTCCCCGCCTTGCCAGCCAGCCACAGAACAACACAAGGAGGATCTAATATGGCTCTACCTAGCTCCAGAACCAAGTAGTTCAAATTGAACCCTATATGGTTAGCCTAACTCTAATTCAGACCTCAACAAAATGGCAAAAAGAAGGACTGTATAATTTTGCTATCTTTATTTTGCATTTCAGTTTGTATTTGGAAGTACTATTTACCATACCAAGAAGGTTATGAAATAAAGGCTTCATTGCAACAAAGAAATTTTGCTAACTGAAATTCTACTGTCGGGAACCAGCAGTTAGCGTAATGGCTATGTCGCTGGACTCCCACGTAGTCGACCGCGGTTCGCGTCCCGGACCCGGTGGCTTAAAACTCACGCCGGGCGCGTGTGCGTGCGTGCCCAAGATCCCGAGAGGAGAATGGAGGAGAAGGGATTGCGGTGTGACCATCCCCCCTGGGGGGTGATTTCTCGCTTTCTGTCTCTATGTCTCTCTCTGTCTGTCTGGCGAGCGCACGCGCCCTACAGTGAAAATCTCTCCAAAAAAAAAAAAAAATTTCTACTGTCTGCTTCTCTATCATCAATTAAAAATTCATTCAGTGGGGCCAGCAAGTGGTGTGGTGGTTAAGGTGCTAAATTCCCACATAGACAACTGTGGTTTGAGTCCCAAACTGGGCAGCTTAAAAATCACAATAAATAAATAAATATTTTTTGAAAAGTAGAGATCAGCAGACGGCATTATGGCTATGTCATTGGACTCCTACAGAGTCGACTGTGGTTCAAGTCCTGGACCCGACACCTTGTGCCAGGTATACGTGCATGCATACTCAAGATCCTGAGGGGAGAATAGAAAAGGGATTTCAGTGTGGCCATCCCCCTGAGGGGTGATTTCTCTCTTTTTGTCTCTCTATCTCTCCAGTGAGCACACATGCCCTACCACAAAAATACCTCTCAAAAAAAAAATTTCATGCAGTAGCTCAGTATAGGCCTAACACATGCCACCAAGATCAAGGTTGCTGGCCTGCTGAAAAAGGTCTTCCAGTTCCATCTTGTTAAATTTGGCAACGTTCATTAGATAGCTATTAAAACACTACCTCTTCTTTTAACACCTTCCTCCTATCTATTTCCAAGGCAAGGCGTGAAGGCTTCATCTTTCCTTCTTTTACATTCTGTGACTTACTGCTATGTTTCTATCATGGGTGACTCTAAGTTTTATGTCATCTAGATATATGTACCTGAGACCTACATAGGACATCTTAAGTTAGGGATGTGTCTTATCTACCTTTCTATGCACTGCAGAGCCTGGTACGCAGCCATAGATTTCAATAAACTTCTGCAGTAGTATTATTTCTGGCTTTCTATAAACAGCCCTTTTTCCTGTCAAGGAGACAGCTTACTGCCCATCTTATTATAGTACTGATTATGCAGCACCCTGTGTGTCCTAAGAAACCCGAGGAAAAGTTAAAATTTACTCAATCAGCTTTTTCGTTGTATTGCAAAGCTCCACAACAGTACATGCCAGCAAGGGAGAGAAGAGAGCAATGGGTTTTACAGTTCAGATCATCATACCAAATGGAGGAAGTGGCCGAGGTCCGAAAGGTCCACAGAGCTGAGGCGGCGGTCCATATCGAATGGGTGGTGGTAAGGGGCCTCCCATAGGGGAGCCCATGAGAGGCACTCCTGGGAAAGGAGGGGGCCCTTTTGCCACCATATTAACCTACAAAGCAGAAGTAATTCAATTTTAAAAACACTTTGATATTACAGACAAAAGCACCAACGCTATTAAAAAGCTAGAATGCAGTGAAGCATATGTCAGACACTTTTCCATATAGCATAACCAGTGCAACAAAACTCTACTCGTCCCATCTGTTCCCACTCAGCTCAGAGAGGTTAAAAGGATGCCAAAGGAGCGAGCAGTTTCACTGTAATTGTATTACTGCTTGTGTCTGAAAATGGAAGGAAAAGTGAGAGAGCTGTCCAAGGTTATTAATGAAGTGACCCTGGCTAATCAAAGGCATAACATACACTGTGTGATCTATTGCTACGGCAGTTCGTCCTTCCACATCTCTCCATCACCACCACAGCTTGTTATTTCCATATTAAGAATGCAGAGAATGAAAGAGAATAAAAACTCCATTCTCTACTCATGTAATAATAACTACTATTCAGAGTAACTTCAATAGGCTTTTAAATATTATCTCAAATCCTCAGATCTCTAAATCTTGTTCTAAATCTGGTGGAACAGAGTCACAAAGGGTATTAGAGAATTTGCTGAAGGTCACACAGCATGTAAGAGGCCCAGTGGAATTCAATACCAGGTATGTCTTGAAGCCCATGCTCTTTTCTGTTACAAAGGGCTTTCTACTCTCTGTGAAGTCTTATATTTCAAAGGGGTCTTGGGTCTTATTCAAGCTGCCCTCGGATAAAAAGATCTCTCAATAAATGTATACTGCTGGAGTCCTGCACTGGAACTTGGGAGTATTTTCCAACAGAAACAATGGTATATGCCCAAATTAGGCAGGCACAGCTCTAATATTTACCTTCAGTCACTAGTTATACTGTATATTGTGAAATATAACTAATCATTTCCTATGGGAAACTGGGCTGGAAACTAAATAATTAACTCATTTTGGTTCCACAAAGAAGCACCATTAGGTATGATCAGAGGACTTACAAACTATAACAGCTACATGAGTTACGAGACAATACACTTAGGGAAATACAATTCAAGGCCCCTACTTGGAACTGGCTCAGCAAGTTAAAGATTTCTACTATTCAGTATTTCAGGCCAACAAATATTCTTAAGTTATTAATCTATAATTTCAGATCATTCAAAATACGGTCTGCCTAGTACACAAGTGGAGGTGTTCTTAATTGCATAGCTCCAAATGAAGATATAGCAACAATAAATTATGCAAAGAATAATGAACTTTGCCTAAGAACATTCGACACTGAAGCATGCAATATAAAATCAGAGTCATGAGTTGTAACATTTTTTAGTTAATTACAATTAGAGCAGATGTCTAAACATATTTTCTAACCAAAACAGGAAAAAGGAGAAAAGAACCAACCAACCAGCCAGTCAGATTCAGCAACACTCAAAGTCAAGGACAAGATTAGGGTCAACACTGCCATGCAATCCAAAGCAAAGATTAGTATATGCTCCTCACAACCTTTCCAGAAATACACCAAGTAAAAGCCCAGTTCAGTCCTCAACCTCTGAAGTACTCACGGCTACTGGATGCTCAGCCAAAGATGTAATGCAGGGAACTGAGGGGCCTTCAGACTCTTGGGGAACAGTTTGCTTTTTTAAAAAATAAATGAGATTGTATAGATGTAGAACAGAACACACAGATGGGAGGTGAGGCAGAGAGACTCTCGTAGGAAAAGTTCCTTGTCTCTGAAAACCTGATTCAAAACCACTGCAGAATTTACCTTGCCCTCGTCCATCGCCTTGTTAGGGGAAGAGCTTCTCGAGCTGCTGTTCATCACGGGAGCAGCACCAGCGCCTGGATCTGTTTAAAGGCAGAGTCCTGACTTAGCATACTGTGACTTGCACACTCCACCCGAAAGAACAAAATACCCTCCACTACTGCCTCCATGATTTTGGATTCCTTGAACATGCTCAAGTCCCTTACCAGAGGCAGAGTGTTTCCCAGATGCCTCAGAGGACCATCTAGGACGAGGCAGAGGCCCATCCACTGACCCTTGAGAGAAGAAAGAAAAATGTATGTCTCTCTTGCTTGTGTGTATTGTGCGTAGAGTTCAACTCTTGCTAGAGAAGAACATTAAAACAGATCTCCCAAACATAAAGAGAAGAAATCAGTAACAATTTATATATAGAACTGAATAAGTAAAATAAGAGCCAGGCCTATAGCCTAGTGGTTAAGGGAGCAAGATCTCACATGGCAGACCATGATTTGAATCCTGGCCCTAGTGGCTTAAAAAACATACCATGCACATGTGTGTATACCCTAAATCCCAACAGGATGAAGAAATGGAGAAAGGGCTGTGGCGTGACCATGCCCCACCGGGTGATGCTTTCTCCTCCCTCTCTGTCTCTCTGGTGAGTGAACGTGCCCTTTGGCAATCAAAAAACAAAACAAGGGGACCAGCAGTTAGCATAATGGCTGTGTCGCTGGACTCCCACGTAGTTGACTGTGGTTCGAGTCCCGGACCCGGTGGCTTAAACTCACGCCGGGCGCATGTACATGCGTGCGCGAGATCCCAAGAGGAGAATGGAGGAGAAGGGATTGTGGCGTGGCCATCCCCTCTGGGGGGTGATTTCTCGCTTGTTATATCTCTGTCTGTCTCTGTCTGTCTGGTGAGCGCCTGCTCCCTATAGCAAAAATCTCTCCAAAAAAAGAAAAAAGAAAAAAAAAAAAAAAGAAGTGAAATGAAGACTGCCTTGTGGGGCCAGCAAGTGGCATGGTGGTTAAGGCAGCTGGATCCCACATGGCTGACTGTGTGGTTCAAGTCCCAAGCCTGGCAGCTTGAAACACACACTGGGCGTGTGTGCCCAAAATCCCAAGAGAAAACTAGAGAAGGGATTGTGGCATGGCCATTCCCCTGATAGATGCTTTCTCTCTCTCGATATATGTATATATTTATATATCTATATCTATCTATCTCTCTCTGCAGCAAGCACATGTGTCTTATGGCAAAACAAAACAAAGCAAAACAGCCTTGGACTGAAGAACAGCAATAAACCCTGCACATTAATAACACTGATCCTATACTTCAAGCTACAGGCTTGATATAATTCTATAGGCTAACTTTTTTCATTCTGTATGTAATCTTATTTCTATATCTTACCAAGAACTATAAAATATAATTAGGATGCAAAATAGGCTTATAGCAATTCATATTATAGTAATGAGAAATGGAATTACACATGCTTCATAAAGGTTTTTTTGTTTTGTTTTGTTTTAATGAGAGAGAAATAAGAAAAGGTAAGAGAAAATAAGAGAGGTATTTTTGATAGGGTCTCACCCTTGCAATTCTCTGGCCCAGCCTCCCAGTTAGCTAGGATCACAGGGGCAACTACTGTTAACTAGTGTGTTCATGCCAGTCTTGTTTCTGAACCTGGGCCACCCATGTGGGCCCAGCCCTGTGTAGCAGTGTCCTGTAGCTTGTGCCACTGTGGTCGGGCCTCAGTATTAAGGCTACTTTTATGTTTGGGAGAACCCCCCCCCTCTCCCAGAAATTATAGATAAAGAAAGGTTCATATCTCATAGAGAAAAGGCCCAGCCATGGTGGTGAAGGCAGTGGAGTGCTGCTGTGCAATGCTGGGAGCCTAAGGAAGGCCCTCGGTTTGGAACCCAGGTCAACCTGAACATGTGGGACATGCCCATGGGTGTGCTCGTAATCCTGGCTAGCTAGAAGGCAAGCAGGGGTGGGGACTGCAACATGGTGAGACCCTATCAAGGGTGCCTATCTTTCTTTTTAAGAAAGAGATAATCAAATAAATCAAAACAAAACAAAACAATCAGAAACAAAAATAATAAAGGGATCTCCAAGAAAATAATGAACTGTTTTCTGTACTGAGGTAGATATTGCAGTAAACGATTAATCTACCAAGACAAATTAAGAAAACTTCTTTCCTGTATTATCAGACCTAACTTCTAAAATGTTCTTTCATTACAATTCTCAAATACAAGACGGAAAAGAAAATAAGTAAGAAACCTCTTGAAATAGTTTATTGCAAGGTAGCTTGTGAGTGCTCACCAAATTCACTTCTAGGCATCTCTCTTCGATTGAGAGTAGCAGAGTGAGGTCTCCCAGGTGGCTCTGCTGTTGGTGGAGGGGAGCATTCTCCACCACTCACAGGAGATGGACCAAAAGAGCCATTCTGGCTCAGAGGACCTGAAGATGACAGTAGGTTGTTAACACTTTAAGATAGGCATTTTTTAAAAAAGTTCTTAGGATCATTTCTAGGGTATCAAAACAACTACATACAGTAATAAAAAGTGATTTACATACATTTTGCCCCCAAATAAACGAATAGATGTTGCCCTTTACAAAGTGCTCCCTACCTCTCCGTGGAGGGTTTTGTGTATTTGGTCTTCCTGGCATTGGTTTTACAATCACAGGTTCTTCTTGCAGCATTGCCATCTTTTGAGTTATTTCTAACAATCTTGAATACAGAGAAAGAACAGATTTAAATAGGAAATGGAAATTGATCATTAAATACCATATAGTATAGCCTTAACTCTAAAACATAGGCTAGCAGGTAGCATGGAGGTTAAAGGTAGCTGGATCCCATGTGGCCAAGGGTGTGGTCCAAGTCCTGGACCTGGCAGCTTGAAAATCATACTGGGCACATACATGTGCATGCAGACCCAACATCTTGAGAAGAGAATGGAGCAGAAGGGATTGTGGCTAGCCATTCCCCTTCGGGGTGATTTCTCATTTTCCCTCTCCCCACAGTGAGCACATGTGCCCTATAGCAAACTAAAAACAAGCAAACAAAACTCTAAAACACACTGAATTATAGAGCTCCAAATCACATACTTGTGCCTTAAGTTGGCAGCTTCCCTTTTCTCTTCAGCTATAGCTCTTTCTGCAGCACGAGCTTTGAGCTGTTGAAGAAAAGTATTCAAGTTGAATTGCAGTAGACTGCACATGAAATAAAGGAAAGGAAAAAAGTCTCACCCAGTTATCATGAGCTTTCTTCTCATGTGCAGCAATCTGAAAAAGATATATCAAAAATATATTAAAATAGTATGTACTGTCAATAGGTATCAAAGAATACTGCAGCAGTAGGGCAGTATTAATTATTACCTGGTTTTTAAATGAGCGCTCTGTTTTCTGTAATTCATCCTCCATTTCTTCAATCCTCCGCCTAAGAATTACATTTGATTTTGTCAGTTAAAGCACAACTGAATCAAATTTCTAAAATTTGAGCATGTTCTCTTAACTCTAATAACTATACCCTAAAAGACTTAATCCATACAAATAAAAAACATACTTTATACGGTTATAAGAGTATAACATGATCAAAACTAGTATTATACAATTTCCTTGTTTGTATCGTTTAATGGCTACAGATTCTTAGCTGATTTATCATTTCCTTAACTGTTCTTTAGTATACTCTCAAATAACTCTGCTAGGAATATCTTCATAAACCTTCGAATTCTATCCATAGAAAATTTCCCAGAGTTATTGACTATTGGGTCTATCAAGTGGCACAATCACTTTAATGCAGGGTCCCAACTCTTGGGCCATAGACAAGAAACAGAAGTGGATGGCACAGTGGAAGGTGAGCAGTGGGCAAAGTGAGCGAAGCTTCATCTGTATTTACAGCCACTCCCCGTTCCCCATGGCTTACATCACCACCTGAGTTCCTGTCAGACCAGCATTCGCATTAGAATCTCATAGGAGCATCCAGATGGGACCATCTGGTTGCAGAGAAACAAGCTCAGTGCTCCCACTGACTCTGCATTAAGGTGAGTTGTATAATTATTTCATTATATATTACAATATAATAACAAAAGAAATAAGGTGTTCAATAAATGTAATGTGCTTGAATCATCCTGAGCCATCACCCCCCTCTGTGCCCTCAAAGTTCATGGAAAAATGTGTCTTTCTTTGTGTCAAAAAGGTTGGGGGCCACTACCTTAGTGGTTTTTAATATATCATAAATCAACTGCTTCTTTAAAGAACTACTCCAATGTACAAAATCTCCCAGAACTATCTGCATAAAGCAAGTTCTCTTATAGTCTTGTAAGCATTGAGTACAAATCAATTTTTGTTAATATTTCTTCATGTGGTAAACATCTATTTTTCTCTCTTGTGTCAAATGTGTTCATGTCCTCCAACCATTTATTTATACTTCTGTGATAACTTCTACAAAAAATGAAAACAAAACAAAAAAATCCAACACTAGTTTCATTAGCCACTGACACTCTTTTCAGAAACCTAACTCACTTATAAGTTTTTACTTCTTCTGCAGCCAAAACCGCCTTTTCATCCGCTGCTGACAGCCTCTGCTCTCGTTCTTGCCGCTCATACTCTTCTTGACTCAATTTCCTAAGACAAATCAGTTAGAAGTGAAAGTTTCTTTCCTCTCAGCAGTCTGAATACATGCTCTATTCATCCTTTTTTAAAGTGCACAGACACATAAAGTCATAGAAAGGAATTCAACCCTGTCATTTAGGAGTAAAAATCAAATTGCCTAGAGTCGGCAGGTGGAGTGGTGATAAGGGCACTGGACTCCCACATGGCCGACCATGGTTCAAGTCCCAGACCTGGTGGCTTGCTTTCTCTATCTCTCTCTCTCTCTCTGTCCTTCTCTGGTCAAAATAAAATATAAATAAATAAATAATTAAATCAAGTTCAATAAAATAATTCTTAAAAAAAATATCAAATCACCTGTACCTGCTTGCTTCTGGCTCATAACCCTCTAATAACTACTAAATAAAACAAATGTAAAACTACCACTGTTCTGGCCAGCCAGTGGCATGGTGGTTAGGGCAACTGGATCCTACATGGTCAATTTGAGTCCCAGACCCAGTCACTTGAAAAACATGCTGGACATTTGTGTATGAGTACCCAAAATTCTAAAAGGAGAAAGAACTGCACCATGACCATTCCCCATGGGGGGATAGAGGGATGAGGTTTCTCACTTTCTCTTCTCTCTGGTGAGCACATGTACCCTCTAGCAAAAATGATTAAAACCAAAACAAAGAAAACACTGTGCCCCATGGGCAAGTCTTGTCCTTGGGATGATAAAAGGTCCTCTATTTCAATGTGTAGCACCAGTACCAATCATCCTAACACAATTTATCTTATTAGGGTAAAACAGGGTAATTGTTTCACATACTTCTACCAGGGAAACTCCTAATGACTTTTCTTATTTTGAAAGATTTCTTGGGACCAGCAGTTAGCGTAATGGCTATGTTGCTGGACTCCCATGCAGTCTAACGTGATTCAAGTCCCGGACCCAGTGGCTTAAACTCACACCGAGCATGTGTGCGTGCATGCGTGTGTGCGTGCCCAAGATCCCGAGAGGAGAATGGAGGAGAAGGGATTGCGGCTTGGGGGTGATTTTTTGCTTTCTGTCTCTCTGTCTTTCCAGTGAGTGCACGTGCCCTATAGCAAAACAAACAAACAAACAAAAAATCTCAAAAAAAAAAAAAAAAAAGATTTGTTAATCCAAGACTGGCACCATGATAAAGATACAGTCAGTCAGGAAAAGAGCCTTAGGACATGTCTTCTAATTGTGGAATCAACCACAAAACACTTCCATGCTTCAGATATGAAACTCCTACTACCTATTTCAGTGGAACTATGATTAAAGGAAGAGGCAAATCTGAATATTGGTAATGTCAGTCAAACAGAAAAGGAATCCAAATTGTCCCACAATCAAGGTATTAGCTACCTGAAACTGATTTTAACTGATAATTTTACTGCAGTCTACCACAGGATAAGTATCCATTAACCAAAATGCTTGGGACCAGAAGTGTTTAGGATTTTGGTATTTTTAGAATTTGGAATGTTGCATTTATATGACAAGATATCTCAGAGATGGGACCCACATCTAAATACAAAATTCATCCATGTTTCATAAACACCTTATACACATAACCTGAAGGTCATTTTAATGTCTGTTTATTTTTACTAGCAAGCATGTGTGTGTGAGAGAGAGAAGTCCCATTATAGTGCAATTCTCTTCTCCTGACTCCCAGCTCCTCAGGATTCTGGGCACCCACACACATGCCAGCATTTTTTCAGGCCAACCTGGGAATAGAAACCTGCAGTTCAGCCATGTGACTTCCAGCACTGCAGTTTAGTTTGTTACTAACTGCATCATAAAGCAGGGTCCTGAAGGCCATTTTATACAGTATTTTTGTATTGCAGCATTTTGACTGCTACCTATATCACACGAGGCCAGGTGTGGCATTTTCCACTTACAGCAGCTTTTTCAAAAAGTCTCAGCTTTTGAGTATTGACATGCTGCTATAAGTGGAATATGCCATGTGCTCTTTGAATTTTGAATTTTCAGGTTTGGGATGCTTAACCCATGTAACACAGACTATATTAATATTAGGTTGTTGAGAAGGTCATGATGCATTTTTACATAGAAAAACATAAAAAAATACAACATGACTTTCCCGAACTAATAGGAGTAGCAATATTGAGTAGTTCAAAATGCTACTTTCTGGTTCTCCTTGTATTCTTTTACCTATAGTTCAAATTCAAAAGATACTTAAACTTAAAACTTCAATAGTCTGTGAATCAGAAGCAAATTTAGAAGAGTTATAGTAAAAAGGGTTATTAACACAAAAAAGAAAAGCTTTATATAGTTTTATATCTACCCATTCAATACTTCGGCAAATATTTTATTTTATGTGACTATAACATACTAGTTACCATGTACGATGCTAAAGATAAAAGTAAGGGCAAAGCACTATCCTTGCACTAAAGGAACTCACAATTATTTTTTTCTTTTTTTTGGAGAGGTTTTTGCTACAGGGCAGGTGCACTCACCAGAAAGAGAGAGACAGAGAGACAGAAAGCGAGAAATCACCCCCCAGGGAGTATGGCCATGCTGCAATCCCTTCTCCTCCATTCTCCTCTCGGGGTCTTCGGCACACACGCCCAGCGTGAGTTTAAGCCACCGGGTCTGGGACTTGAACCGCAGTCGACTGCATGGGAGTCCAGTGACACAGCCATTACGCTAACTGTTGGTCCCGGAACTCACAATTTAATATAGCACAGAAAATGCATATCAGAACAGAACAATTCCTCCCTGACTCTTGCTCAGGAAGGATGTAAAACAACTTGAAGAAAGATCAGAGAGAGAATTTTATTTCCAAAAATGGATGAAGACACTGAGGACAATTAGAGCATCTGGACAAAAATATAAAAAGTGTTTGGGCCAGTAGGTGGCATCATGGTCAAGGTGTTGGAATCCAGATGGCTGACTACATGGTTTGAGTCCTGGACCCAGTGGCTTGAAAACACACCAAGCACGTGTACACACTTGCCCAAAATCACAAAAGTAGAATGGAGGAGAAAGGATTACAGCATGGCCATCCTCTCTGGGAAGTGATTTCTTACTTTCCCTTTCTCTCTGGCAAGCACACATGCCCTTTGGCAAAAATCTTAAAAAAAAAAAAAAAAAAAAAGGCATCAGAGCTAGTAGAGTGGTAAAGATACATATATGTGGCCAAGATCCAGTAGGAAAAGGAATCTTAGAATCACAAGTAAGCCTGGTATGTGGTATTTTCAGCCACTTTCCCCCTAGGTTCATGCACAAATTGAGACAATGCAGAGATATAAATAGGTTGCACAAAGCCTTCAACGGATTGACTTGGAGAAAAACGTAGTAAAGTTCAGGGCTGTCAATGAGGGATTTTAGTAAAAGCCTTGTGGTTGGGGTTGAGCCTAGAAAGAATTACAGACTTGTGGAGTACTGAACAGCCAACACAGTATTCTTTGAAAGGACTATGACATTTTTAAATGATCTTAATTGCTGACTGGATTAAAATGACAGAGCCAACTGCTAGAAGTAACTTCAAATCTTTTCTGTAGGAAGATAACATCATCCTAGGCCTCAAATTTCCTCTACAATTATCATGTACAATATATGCCACTCAATCAAAACTGACCAGGTATTGCACAAGACCTGTGATCAAAATCTAAAGACAAAGTATCCACATAATGGGTTAACACAGATTTTTAAATAATTGTTCCTTATCTATTCGAGAAAGTAAAGGGATGGGTCCAGCAGATGGCGTGATGGTTATGTCACTGGACTCCCACATGGCTGACTGCAGTTCAAGACCTGGAGGCTTGAAACTCACACCAGGTTCATGCGCATGTATGCCCAAAATTCTGAAAGGAGAGTGGAGGAGAAGGGATTGTGGCATGGCCGTCCTCTCTGGGGGGTGATTTCTTGCTTTCTGTCTCTCTGTTTCTGTCTGTCTCTCTGGCAAATGCATACGCCCTGTAGCAGAAATCTCTCTAAAAAATAAAAAAAAATAAAAAAAAAAAGAAAGAAAGAAAGTAAAAGTCAAGATAATGAATTTCTGATGATTATATAATAATTATAAAACCGAAAAGTATTAACTGATATGAAGAACCAGGACCAGCCACAGCAGTGTACATTAGAATGCTACTGCTCCACAGATTGAGACCACATTTGGTTCAATTCCCAGTCCAATCTGAAGGCCAAGTGTTGGGGTAGGGGCCTGCAATCTCAGCATCAAAGAAGGCTGAGACAGATAGGTCATGAGCTCAAGGCTGACCTGAGGAACATAATGAGACCCTGTCTAAAAAAACCAACTGGTTATGACAACCCATGCTTGTAGTCCCAGTTGGGAAGTTAAGGCAGGAGAATTATGCCATGACAAATCCCTGTCTTCAATCAATCAATCAATCAATCAATAAGCCCAACAAATGATTTTAGTAGCAGATTTAACAAACTGATGTTAAGATTTTATCACATTGAAAGACAGATGAGAAGAAAAGATCCAGAATAATGCAAATCAGAATATAGGAAACAGAAAAATGGTAAAACAAAATCTAACATGCCTTAATTCAACTTTGAAGAAATGAAAGAATGAGGCAGAATATTTAAAAAATTATAATCTTGGGACCAGCAGTTAGCATAATGGCTATGTCACTGAACTCCCATGTAGTCGACCGCGGCTTGAGTCCCAGACCTGGTGGCTGGGACTCAAACTGGGCATGTGTGCATGCGTGCCCAGGATCCTGAGAGGAGAATGGAGGAGAAGGGACTGCGGCGTGGCCATCTCCCCTGGGGGGGGTGATTTCTCGCTTTCTGTCTCTCTCTCTCTCTCTCTCTCTCTCTCTCTCTCTGTCTGGAGAGCGCACGCTCCCTGTGGCAAAAACCTCTCCAAAATAAAAAATATATATGTGTGTGTATGTGTGTGTGTGTGTGTGTGTGTGTATATAAGAAGATAAAAAAACTATCAATATTAGTACACATAGTCAGTAATACAATAGTACCACGACCAATAAACAGAAATCTTACTTTTGCAGAGCCATCTCCTTCTGCTGATAGAGTTCATTCAGAATCTCCACTTTCTGCTTCAGGGTTTTGCATTCGTCTTCCAACCCGGCTTTGGCAGACTGCAGTGAACTGCGGTCATCTTCTAACTTCCTTATTTGGTCTGTAAGAGATAAAATGATTGCGCTCCACGTATTTACATGGGGACTCAAGAACTTGGATGAGAAGGTAGTGCTGAGGAGTGAGAAGCATGAAGCGGGATTCCATTCTTTATCTTTCCAATGCAATTTTATTTATTTATTTATTTATTTATTTTGGAGAGGTTTTTGCTATAGAGTGCATGCGCTCGCCAGACAGAGAGAGACAGAAAGCGAGAAATCACCCCCTAGGGGGGATGGTCACGCCGCAATCCCTTCTCCTCCATTCTCCTCTCGGGATCTTGGGCACGCACGCACACGCGCCTGGCGTGAGTTTTAAGCCACCGGGTCCGGGACGCGAACCGCGGTCGACTATGTGGGAGGCCAGTGACATAGCCATTACGCTAACTGCTGGTTCCCTCCCAATGCAATTTTATATCTTACCAATATATGACAGTTTCTTCTCAAGAAGCAACTTACCTTCCAGGTTACATTTAGTAGACATTGAGGCTCTCAGCTTAAGTTGGAGAAGTTTTAGATCCTCTTCGACTACTGATATTGCAGTCTGTGTCTGAAAATTGCAAAAGAAAGAAGTATTCTTAAAAGTGAGGCTTGTAAGAATTCACAGGCACTTCTGGGACTCTATAAAAAGGATTATACCCGAGAGACATCCATCATCTGCTTAATTTGCTTTTTCATCTTCTCATTCCGGTCACCTAAAAAACAAAAGACTTTACTTGCTTTTTCTTCCCTTTCTTTTTAAATGTATTTTCTTGAATTCTCCTAAACTAAGTAATTATCATGTTCAAACATTAAGAGAAAAAAACAAACTAACCAAAAGAACTGGCTGACTGACTTTTAAGAGAACTGCAAACTTAGATTTGATTCAAATTCCCCATTTGTACAATGAAAATGCTGTCCATACCAGTTTTAAACAAGGAGCAATATGAGGTAAAAGGTTCTTCTCTCTCTCTCAGATTCATCTCTATCTGGGCAAGTGTCTTATTTAGGAACATTCACTCCTCTTTTCCCCTGAATCTGCTGCCAGTTGAGGATTAAAATACCCATTATGCAAGCAATGTTCAACGTAGGAGATGGTTTCCTCATCAGTAAACACTGCTAACCTCTAAACTCCAATCTCCTAGCCTTAGTTTATGGCCCCATCCATCTTTAGCACTCTTAAAACCAGTTACGGACTTTTAAATCATGAAACTACAAAAATGGTACATATTAAAATGAAACACTGGGGCCAGCAGGTGACATGGTGGTTAAGGCGCTGGACTAACCATGGCTAACCATGGTTCGAGTCCTGGACCTGGTGGCTTCTTTTCTCACTTGGGCACGCACGCACACGCGCCTGGCGTGAGTTTTAAGCCACCGGGTCCGGGACGCGAACCGCGGTCGACTATGTGGGAGTCCAGTGACATAGCCATTACGCTAACTGCTGGTTCCCTCCCAATGCAATTTTATATCTTACCAATATATGACAGTTTCTTCTCAAGAAGCAACTTACCTTCCAGGTTACATTTAGTAGACATTGAGGCTCTCAGCTTAAGTTGGAGAAGTTTTAGATCCTCTTCGACTACTGATATTGCAGTCTGTGTCTGAAAATTGCAAAAGAAAGAAGTATTCTTAAAAGTGAGGCTTGTAAGAATTCACAGGCACTTCTGGGACTCTATAAAAAGGATTATACCCGAGAGACATCCATCATCTGCTTAATTTGCTTTTTCATCTTCTCATTCCGGTCACCTAAAAAACAAAAGACTTTACTTGCTTTTTCTTCCCTTTCTTTTTAAATGTATTTTCTTGAATTCTCCTAAACTAAGTAATTATCATGTTCAAACATTAAGAGAAAAAAACAAACTAACCAAAAGAACTGGCTGACTGACTTTTAAGAGAACTGCAAACTTAGATTTGATTCAAATTCCCCATTTGTACAATGAAAATGCTGTCCATACCAGTTTTAAACAAGGAGCAATATGAGGTAAAAGGTTCTTCTCTCTCTCTCAGATTCATCTCTATCTGGGCAAGTGTCTTATTTAGGAACATTCACTCCTCTTTTCCCCTGAATCTGCTGCCAGTTGAGGATTAAAATACCCATTATGCAAGCAATGTTCAACGTAGGAGATGGTTTCCTCATCAGTAAACACTGCTAACCTCTAAACTCCAATCTCCTAGCCTTAGTTTATGGCCCCATCCATCTTTAGCACTCTTAAAACCAGTTACGGACTTTTAAATCATGAAACTACAAAAATGGTACATATTAAAATGAAACACTGGGGCCAGCAGGTGACATGGTGGTTAAGGCGCTGGACTAACCATGGCTAACCATGGTTCGAGTCCTGGACCTGGTGGCTTCTTTTCTCACTTTCCCTCTCTCTCTATCTCTGGTCAAACTGAAAAACAGTAATAATAAATGAAGTTAAATAAAATAATTCTTAAAAAATGAAACACCATCTCCACAAAGTTGAAAACCAAGTTTCTCCTAGTGTATTGTTAATTCTTAGAGGTTTAAGACAAGATTAATGCAGTCCCAGTGCATATGTCTAGTTCTCAATGAATGCAAAAATAAAATTGGTGTTCACTGCAAGCCTTTCGCTACAGCACACCACAGCAAACATCCTCTGCCCAATGCAAACAGACATTTATACCAATCTAGTGATAAGCCACTGTGACCCTAAAACTTCAGAGGCAACTCCTGTCAGCCAAAAAGGAGCATCAGTGCACTTAAGACAGGAAGGCAAAAAACACCTCCGAGACTGATCTTACCTCCCACTTCTCCATTGGCTAATTCATCTGACTCATTTTCTCCTTTATTTTGATTCTCAGTTTCAGATTCACACTCTAACCGATTCAACTGAGTAATGCAATTAGTCAAAGCCTAGAAAAGAAGTAAAAGTGTACCACCAATTAGAGCCTCTTCATTTTTAATAAGCAAATTTCAACAGAAAACTCAATAGAATTAAGCATATACTCATGTGAATAAACTTACATTAATATTATCATCTTTGTGAGTAAGCGCTATTTCCAAGTCTTCCTGAGATTTCTCAAATGATTTGATTTGCTCAGTGAGCTCAGCATGTGACTTACTCAAGTTTTCAATTTCTTGCTGCAACTAAAAAGTCAAAACACATGAAAATCCATAGGTTAGGGCTTCTGCACTGGTGACATAGACCTGTGTGAATGACACTGTGTAAGCCATGCCTCTCCCAGGCCTGTGGCTGTGAGCTAAGCCCTCCATTAAGGGAGAAGGGAGAGGGCCCCAACCCTTAGAGCTGTAGTAATAAGCACATCAGAGCTGTCAAGGAAGTTGGCCCCATTTATGGCATTCTTCAGAAAATTACAAGCAGTCAATTCAAATAGTTCACTTCCAGTAGAAATGGATGGACATCTCTCACTGTCTTTAATCTCTTAAGTCCAGACTCCTGATCATGTAACCTTTTCTTGGTCAGTGAAGCAGTTACTGCTGGAAACGGGGTTATAAAACACCTGATTCTCTGGTCTTAAAAAAACCAATCCCAGGACCAGCAGTTAGCGTAATGGCTATGTCGCTGGACTCCCACGTAGTCGACCACAGTTCGAGTCCCGAATCCAGTGGCTTAAACTCACACCGGGCGCATGTTCGTGCGTGCCCAAGATCCCAAGAGAAGAATGGAGGAAAAGGGATTGTGGCATGGCCACACCCCCTGGGGAGTGATTTCTCGCTTTCTGTCTCTCTGTCTCTCTCTGTCTGTCTGGAGAACGCATGCACCCTATAGCAAAAACCTCTCCAAAAAAAGGAAAAAAAAAAAAATCCAATCCATTGCCACTTTAAAATACTCAAGTTAATAACTGGTTGGTATTTGACAAGACCAAGACTGAACACTCCAGTAACTGCTACAAACTATACAGAAAAACAGAAAATCTAGCATAAATGAAGGACATACACATCCACTCAGTTTTGGGAGAACATTTTTGCACTTTGCATATCTATAAATAGGATCTTGCATAAATATTTTATTACCTTAAAAAACATACCTAAGAAAAGATATCTATAATGTAATATTCTGTTCTTTAATTTATTGATCTACTGTATTGTATTCAATACTGAGCGGTATTAACTTTTGTTTACCTGTGCCTTTTTCTTCTTAAGTCTAGTATTTTCTTCTTGAACCCGATGGCATTCAGACTTCACCTTCTCTTCACTAAGCTTAGCTTCATTAAGTGCAATTTGAACCTAATGTAAAAATATTCCCATTAGTGAATTCATCAAAAAAAAAAAAAGCTATATTTTCCCAACTAGAGCATGTTATTTTATTGTTTTGAATATTTTAACAAACACAAATTTTTGCCCCTCAACAGAACTAAGGCATATATCCTGGAGCAACAGTAGACAGCTTTACCTCTGAAAATTCTGAGGCATTCACTGAAATAACATCTTTTAGCTTCTCTATAGATTTCTTATTTTCCAGTATCTGCCATGTGGAAACAGACATAAAACACACATTAAGATTTCAATAGAAACACTAAAAAGAATAAACAATAACAAACCATATCACAGAATCATCTCATACATTTTAAGTAAAAGCAAAGGATCCAGTTTTGGCCAAGGAGAAAAATCAAGAAAGAGGACAGGGGCCAGGATGTGGCATGGTGATTAAGGTGACTAGATTCTACACAGCCAACAGCTTGGTTCAAGTTCCCAAGCTGGCATTTGAAAAACACAGTAGACACAAATGCACGAAGACTAAAATGCTAAAAGAAGAGATTGTGGCATGACCATCCCCCATGGGATGTCCTTAAGTCTCTCCATCTCTCTCTTGCTCTCTCTGTTCCTCTCTTCCAAGGAGCACATGTGCCCTCTAGCCAAAAAAAAAAAAAAAGTCCAGTCTCCTGGTGCAGTTGGTATCAAAACTGCAGGACTGGAATTGCGGGGTTTAGATTCTTCCCTAGGTCAGCTTGAAAACATGCCAAGTACATGTGTGGGTACCCAAGGGAAGGGGATCATGATGTGAGAAAACGTTTTAGGGGCGTTTCTGTCTCTCTCTCTTTCTCTCTCTGTCACACACACACATTCTCTATCATAAATAAACAAAACTTAAAGAGATGTGAGAAAATAAAAATAACTGAAGGCATAAATATTTCATGGCATCCACAACTTTCCCAATTATAAGATAATGAAGTAGATGATCAGACAAAAAGGTGAAAGCAAAGAAAATGAAAAAAATTCCAAATAAAACAGTTCAAATGAATGTTTTTTTCTAGTGGTAGAGGAAAAAGAGTCCCAAGATTACTTTAAAAATTGTCTTGTGTCAATTAAAAATGGCAAGATTTTATGGAGAATACACAAATCTCCCATACAGAAGAATTCCAAATAACTTATGAAGATACTGGCTCCTCAATAAGGTAGAGCATAACTCTTCATTCTTTAACTACGTGCATAGTAACTTTCTTATAAAAAGTATATTATACAAAAGATGGAAAAAGAGTCAATTTACGATGGAGAAGCCTAGCAAAGAACTACCTTAGCAACATGCCCAAGCTTGACTAGGTGCGGGACATACGTGGGGTCTTCAAAAAGTTCATGAAAAATTAGTATTATGAAAAACTATGAAAAATTTCATAAATTTTTTGCACCAAAATAAACTCATACTATAATTCTATTTTTCCATGAACTTTTTGAGTTCAGTATAGTAATCCTTGTACAGTAATCCTCTCTACTCCCTTTATGACTTACGTAGTTCCACAACTATTCTAAAGCTAAAAGTGTATTGAAAAAAGAGCTTCACAAAACAAAACGAAATACAAGAATTCATCAACGAGATTAGTTTCTCACCTGCTTTCTATGTTTCAGAGATCAGAGCCACAATATGAAAATTACCAAGAACTGAGAATAAAAATACTTCCCAGGCCCATAAAAATAATGATTTGTTGATTCAGTATTTAGAATTTCACAAAATGGAGAGAAGTAGGTTCAACTGTCCTGATTCCCACTCTCATTTTAAAGACACAAGAAAATGTAGTCAACTCACCAATCTACGAAATAGGTCAAAAGTCAAACTACAGCACCACGTAACAGCAAAACCCTTACCAAGTCCTGATTCTTGAGGTTCTGTTCTCTCTCAGATTCTAACATAACACGAAGATTTTTAGCTGTGCCATTCAGAATTTCATTAGCTTCTTCAAGATTTTTTATTTTATCCTACAAAAAAGATATTAAGATTAGTAACAGTAATTCATTACTTCTACTTGTTTTTAGAAGGTAATCCCAGAAAGAAAAAATACTTTTACCTTAAACTTAATTGCTTCATCAGAGAGAATTATATTTTGTTTCTTGGTTTCTTGAACATGTTTCTTTGATTCCTTGATCTGTATAAAATAAAACATTTGGAACTCAGAAATATAAATTATAGTGCTACCAAAACTTATTTTCCAGTGGGTAGTCCTTTACAAAAGAAAATAGTACTTTACACATATGATGATTGCTTAAGAACTGGATAGTTTGGAAAAAAGAATGAAGTAAGAAAATATGATTTTAAAATGCCCTAATAACTGAACTATAAGTCAGGTAAAAATAATTCAAGCTGGAAACACAGAGGAAAAAAGGCAAAAGAAAAATTATACCTTCTGTTCGTAATTTGACAATTTCTGTACAAGCTCTGCATTTTCTTTCATGATAATCTTCAACTTCTCAGAAATTTGCTGTTCAGTGACTAAAAAGAAATGACAATTTCTGTACAAGTTCTGCATTTTCTTTCATGATAATCTTCAACTTCTCAGAAATTTGCTGTTCAGTGTTTACAAAGAAGGAAAGAATCCATTAGACTGTATGATCACTAACAAAACTGAATTACCCAATGTATTAGCAGCAATCACATGTTATTTGGCACTATAAAGGAAAAGAACTTCTCAAGATGACTACAAATTGTAACTTTAAAAAACAATCTGTAGTTAATAAGGGTGAGATGTAAAAATATTATTAAAACTTAAGAAAGATATAGTAAGAACCCTTATTACAATGAGGCACAAGTTCAATTTATTAAAGATGGGAAATACAGGAAAATGGTATAACGTGATATTCCTTCCTTTGTCAAGTGCCTTTCTTTTCAGAAAATTGGATCACTTCAAATACATCATTCATAAAAGAAACAGAAAAATGCAAGCATACTGATTTGTATTTCTATTCCTCAACTTACCTTGAATGAATATTTATTGTATTGATTAAATTATTAGTACAAGAACATTGTTCATATGTAAGAAGTCTTATTACATCAACGAAGTCCATCTGCCCCAAATTAAACTGATCATCTTCCCCCTATTCCCACAATTTGTTCCTCCTCATCTTCAACAATCTCTCTCCATCTACTCTATCATCCAAGCTAACGGTAAACTTCAGAAGTTAATGAGTAAATCAGATACCAGAAGTAACTATATCCACTTCTAGCTTACATTAAATCCATATCAAACACCATTCAGAGAAAATAATACAAATACAAAATAAACTTAAAAAAATTTACCTTGATATGCTCTGCTCTTTACCTAGAAGAGAGAAATAAGATTAAATCTGATATCATTTTATTCATAGAAGTATGCCGTTCCTAACAACAACCAAAATAGCAACCATATGAAAATTTAAGAACAGTTTGGTTCAGTAAGACAACTCTACTAGATTAAAAATAAGATGATGTTAAACTAAGTTAAGTATCTTATTATTTGGCAAAGGATTTGTTTATGTATCTATTAAGTGAGTACCAATGTTATGATATACTGAACTTTATTAACAGAATGGCTAATATTTTCCTAATAAATATACTAATGCTTTACTGACCCAAAATCACTTTAGCTGACAATCACAAACTGCCAGACTAAGGTCTAGAAACAATGATTATTCAAAAGGACTCTGAGGAAACAAAATTAAAGACATAATCTTTGTAGTAAGATAAGCCTCTTTTCACTCACCAGAAACCATCTTTGAAATCCTGTTCAAAGTTAGCTACTGGCTGAATTTAGAAACAATTTTAAGAAGCTAAATCATCTTATTTTCCCAGACCACTAAAAATAGTGGTCATAAATCTGAAAGAGAAGGGAAGACTGCTAGATGAAAATGCGCACGCAGTTAGAAAAATGATAGTAACATCTTTTATTTTTTCTTTCAGATTTTTGCCATAGGGCTCATGTGCTATCTGGAGAGAGAGACAATGGAGAGAGAGGCAGAGAGACAGAGAGACGGGGAGGGAAAGTGAGAAATCATCCCCCATGAAGGATGGTCACACAGCAATCCCTTCCTCCTCCATTCTTCTCTAGGGATTTTGGGCATGCATGCACATGATCCCAGCATGTTTTTCAAGCTGCCGGGGTCTGAGACTCAAATCACAGTCTGTCCATGGTATCTAGTGTCTTAACCACCCCATCGCTGCCTGCCCAACAATTAACATTTTTCTGAAAGGTGTAAGGAAAAATCATTCCCCAAAGACGGTACTAAAATCTAAGGACTAAATACTTTTTAAAAACTATTGCTAAAGTTCTTTATAACCCAGAATATATTTCCCCTCTCGGATATTATAAATGGTAATGAGATACTCAAACCAGTACATAAATCATCCATAGTTTCTCAGTATTAATACAGTATCTAAATACCACTTATAATACTGTTAAAAGAAAATGCATTCAAGAAATTCCAACATAGGGGATCAGCAGGTGGTGTGGTGGTTAAGGTGCTGGACATTGCCACATGGCTGACCACGGTTCGAGTCCCAGACCTAGTGGCTTGCCTTCTCACTTTTCCTCTCTCTCTGTCTCTCTCTGGTCAGATTAAAAGAAATGAATAAATAAATAAATAATTATTAAAGAAAAAAAAGAAGAAATTCCAACATAGAAAGAAAAGGCTATTCTCTATCATAGCCTTGCTAATGACAGCATAAACTTATCCTCTTTCTCCCAAAGTAAAAGGCAGGGGAAAGTGGGTAGAAGTGAAAAGCAGGCAAATAAGAATAAACACAAGCCAGCCAGTGACATGGCTGAATCCCACATGGCCAACTAAGTAGTTCAAGTCCCAGACTCAGTGGCTTAAATAACATGCTGGATGCATGTGCAAGTATGCCCCAGACCACAAAAGTAGAGAGAAATAGAGAAAAAAGAATTCCTCATGGGGAGGTGCTTTCTCAGCCCCCTTATCCCTAGCTCTCTCTGGGGAGTGCATCCACCACCCTCTGGCAGAATTTTAAAAAAAAAGGAGGAGGACTGAGGTTCCCAAAGTCAAATGCTGAAGCTGAGGAGACACAGTTTGGACACAGACAATAGATTACTAAACAGGATACTATGCTATATAAAATGGTATGACCATTTTTAAGGCTTTGATAAATTCTGTTTCCTGTTTTACTCTTATTTGAGGAAAGGCTCCATGAGTTTAGAGATGTCCTCACAAGAATCTAGGCCGAAAACACTTCAAGTGACTTTATAATAAACTTTGCAAAGAGAGAAAACTTATTAAGAATGATATGTTCAATATAATTAAAAAATCAGAAGATAATAGTTTTTGAAAGATTTACGTACAATGCTTTTGGCTATTTTAATTGTTAGGTTTCTATTAAAAGCTTTTCATCTGCAAGACTTATTTATTTTTACTGCCAGAGGACACATGTACTCACCAGAAAAAGGGAGAGAGAGAAAGAACCCCTCAATGAGGGAGGGTAATGCTGCAATTCCCTTTCTTCTATTTCTCCATCCCATTAGGGTTTGGGGCCCTTAGGCAAACATGCCTGGCATGTCTTTCAAGCCACTAGGGCCAGGATTTGAATTCCAGATGGCCATGTAGGATTCAGCCCCAAAATCACAGTGTTTAATCAATGCACTATGGTCTAGCCCTGCAAAGCTCATTTAAGGAAATAATCCCCCCCCCATGATGACAATACATAAGTGCGAAGCAGAATGACATAATACAATCATAATTATGTATACATGAGTATACATACATATATGGTACAAGACTGAAAGACAAATTCTGCATACACACAAGAAAAGGCTCTAAGGAATAAAACATGTAATAGTGTGCCTCTGAATATTATATAGTTTTTACTTCCAAATAAAAAGATATTTTCTGAGGACTAGCTACATAGCACAGTGGTTAGGTGCTATAAGGAGAAAGGTGGATCCCATATGGCTGACCAGGGTTTGACTTCTGGCCTTGTTGGCTTGTAAAGCTCACCTACACTCAGGATTCTGATGGGATGGAGAACTGAAGGAAACGGGACTGCATGAAAAGACTCCACTGGGGAGTGCTTCCTCCTCCCCCATACTCATGCATTCACATATGCCCTCTGGCATTAAAAAAAAAGGAAATTTTCTAAGCACGTGATCAATTCAGAAAAGCTAGGAAACATTTAAGAATGAAGACTGAGAAGTTACCTCATCTCCTACATGTAAGACATTTTATCATTTTGTTGTATTTCCTCGAAGCATCTTTGCCGTGTGTGTGTGTTGGGGGAGGGGCAAATACACACCAGACTTCAAAAAGTTTGTGGAAAATGGAATTAAAGTACAAGTTTAGTTTAATGCAAAATAACTTCAAAGCTATGCATAATTTTTTTAAAATAATATGTGTTTCATAAACTTTTTGAAGACCCCTGTCATATGTAGGTTTATATAAGAGACAGTTTACTCACACTTTAAAGTCTCAGTTTCTAATTTTTTTTGGCTTAACACGGAATTCTGAGCATTTTCTATGTCCCAATATCTTTGAAATATATAAAATATCCTCATATCCGACTACACAGAAGCACAATCATTTAATAATTTCCCTAATACGGATCACAGTATTCACTTTAATAAATACTAAGTGAATACTGTGCCAAGTTTTCACTTTAATAAATACTATTACATTCAACATCTTTATACAAGATCTTTAATGCATGGTTGGTTACATCAAGATAGATTACTGAACAGAATATTATGCTATCAATATATAAAATAATAAGTATTTTAAAGCTTCTGATACATATTACTGAACTACTTTTCAGGATGACTAGAATTCCCAATTCTGCTAATAATGTACATGTGCCTACCTAATTCTTAATCTTTAAGTTTTCTTTTCTTTTTTTTTTGGGGGGGGGAGATTTTTGCCATAGTGTGTATGAAAGAGACAGAGAGACAGAAAGCGAGGAATCACCCCCAGGAAGGATGGTCATACCACAATCCCTGTTCCTCCCTTCTCTTCCTGAGATCTAGGGTACACATGCACACACGCCCAGTATGAGTTTGAAACCATTGGGTCCTAGACTTGAACAGCGATTGGTCATGTGGCAGACCAGAAATGTAATCCCTACATCATCTCCTGGTTCCAATCTTTAGGTTTTCATATAATGAATTTATAAACTAATGTTTTTCCATGGAGATGATGAGATTCTGCATATTGTTCACATAATTTTACCAACACAAAGACTACACTACATTATTTGACAAAGTTAGCTTGAATTATAAGCATTCATTTGCATTCATGTCAGTAACTGAGAAAATAAACAAAAGGGCCAGTGATTATTCAAAAACTCTTGCATTTGTAAGTTAAAGTATAACTTAATTTACTCACAGCAAGGATAGTTCTCCAGAAGAAAATGGCAAATGAAACGATTCCCAAGAAGGCTGTAATAAGAACAGGTTTCCATGGCAGTCCATAAAAATCAGGCCCAGGCTGAACATCATCAGGCAGTGTAGCAACTAACTGAAATACACATTTAAAAATAATGTGAAAACTTAAAGAAACGTACAATAAAAGTCATAAGGAATTTCCATACATATTCTAAACCAAACTCCATCAGATGAACACCTCCCTCAAAAACCTTCAATAGCTGCCACTGCTTCAAGAAAGACAGTATGATGGCAGTCTCATACTTTTTGTTTGGTTTGTAGTGTTTTTAAATACTGTAAATCTAAACGTCATTAAATTGAGCATGTATCTCTAGTCTGTAACAGGTCCTGCCACATCACGTGGTCTAACATACAGGTAGACTCCCTCTAGATCACATTTTTCTCCTGGATAAGTTAAGTTTTATAACTAAACACACACACACACACACACAAAGTTTAAATATACTACAGAAGTAATCGCCTTTTATGGCTGTAAAAGAAACCAGTATGATGATGACAGCACAATAATGTGTAACTCCCCTAAGAATTTAAATCTTTATTCTGTCCTACTCTTAGACCAAGACAAATGCTGAGGAAGTTGACACACTCCTGTTAACTGGTCTAGGTAAACTGTTCTTCCAATGCCTTAATTCTAAATGATTTCCTTGAAGGCAGTTAACATACCTGCCAGATCGTTTCCATTGCCATCTATAAGTCCACGCATTGACTACCCTACTGGCCCCATCCCCCAACATTGCTGTTAGAGAAAAGACCCATAGAGACATGCTTTCTATTTTGATCCTGACGGCATACCAGAATGTATTTCGGTGCCTGTCACCTCGAAAAGTGCCCAATATTGATCAAGTACATTCTCAGTGGCCTCCCTAAACAGCGCAGCAACGTCCTGCTGCCCTGGGCCTAACACTCGCCATTTTTCCTCTGCCCGGTCAGTGCACCCACTCCGCTCAGAATCTATCCACGTCCTTGCCACAGCTGGGCTCCCTCCCTGGGAACGGGGACCATCACCTCCAGCAGCTCGGCTATGAGGGCTGCGTAGAGCACCGACAGGGGGCCCAGAAGCTCCGCGTCTCCCGGGGAAGCGGTGACAGAGGGTACAGTGGCAGGTACTGAGTCCATTGCGCACTGACAGCTGAGCGGAGGCGACGCTTCCTTGCGGAACCGCACAGGACCCCCTTCACTTTCGCCGCTTCCTCCTTCGGGAAGTGCCCGGCGCAGGAGGCGGGTACTAGGAGCGAACTTCGCCTTCCCCAACCGCTAGCACTTTCCGCTCTGCGCTCCCAGTACACGTCATCAGACGCGGCGCCAGCGTCGACGTCAGCGAGCCCGCGGAGGCGGGGCCCCGGTGGGCGGGGCCAGGGAGGAACCAACTGTCCAGCCGGGCGAGGGAGAAGAGCCGAGCGGGAGGAACCAAGTGAAGGGCGGCGGGGTGAAAGAGGTTCTCCTGCAGCAGGGCCTGGAAGAGAACCTGCGATTCCGAGGGTCCGGTGGTGAGGCTACCAGGAGGACTGGGGGCGGGGGGTGACTGGAGGAAAGGAGAAAGCACACCTCTCAGGCCTGCCCAGTGCTGAGACACCACCCACCTGCTCTAAATGTCCAGATTGTAGAGGGCACGCCTCTCCCCCTGCTTCGGTGGGACTCAGCTCAGCCGGGGCCGCCCTCCCCTGCCCACTCCAGTCGGCTTCCTGGTATACACGTGTTCACCCTGTCACTTTCTTGCTTTAAAAAGCTTTATCCTAAGGAATCATGCCATTATCACCCCATGCCTACGGTGAAGAAGCCTTAGCCTAGGGAATCCTGTCATTATATTGATGCCGACAGGTTCAGTTCCAGATCTCACGGTTTAGATTACTAGGGTACTCAAGAGTCTGGAGATGAGGTTCTAAAAGTTGAAAAAATCGGAAATATTAAACCTGGGGGAGGGGGGAATGATATTTGTACAACAGATCTTTAAGTGTATCTTTGAGTTGAATTCAAAATAGCAGTCAAGAACATGTAGGAAAACCCTAAAAAAGAAACGCAAAGGAGGGTGCAATGAGAGAGGAGTGCTCTGCAATTTAAACAGTATGGCACTAGTCTAAGAATACTGAGAGGCCACCAGGCAGAACAGAAAATCCAGAAGAGACCCAAATGCACTGCACATTCAGGTACAAGTCAGCTAGGGGAAAAAACAACTTAAATACTGTTGACATATCTAACACATGGAATTGATCAAAATCGGATCCTTTTCATTGTTCACAAGGATAAATTCCTTACTAGTCAGAAGACCAAATGTAAAAAATGACAAGTATTTTTTTTTAATGGGGTGAATTTTTCTATGTATTATATGGGCAAAACTTCCAGATTATGTTTTAATAGCCAGGAGCAAAAAGGTAAGAGATTTGTAAATATGATCACAAAAAAAAAAAAAAAAAAAAATTCAAACCCTGCCCAGTCCTGCCAAAAAAAAAAAAAAATTCAAACCCTGCCCAGTCCTGCCAAAAAAAAAAAAAAATTCAAACCCTGCCCAGTCCTGCCAAAAAAAAAAAAAAATTCAAACCCTGCCCAGTCCTGCCAAAAAAAAAAAAAAATTCAAACCCTGCCCAGTCCTGCCAAAAAAAAAAAAAAATTCAAACCCTGCCCAGTCCTGCCAAAAAAAAAAAAAAATTCAAACCCTGCCCAGTCCTGCCAAAAAAAAAAAAAAATTCAAACCCTGCCCAGTCCTGCCAAAAAAAAAAAAAAATTCAAACCCTGCCCAGTCCTGCCAAAAAAAAAAAAAAATTCAAACCCTGCCCAGTCCTGCCAAAAAAAAAAAAAAATTCAAACCCTGCCCAGTCCTGCCAAAAAAAAAAAAAAATTCAAACCCTGCCCAGTCCTGCCAAAAAAAAAAAAAAATTCAAACCCTGCCCAGTCCTGCCAAAAAAAAAAAAAAATTCAAACCCTGCCCAGTCCTGCCAAAAAAAAAAAAAAATTCAAACCCTGCCCAGTCCTGCCAAAAAAAAAAAAAAAAAAAAGCAAAACCTGCCCAGTCCTGCCAAAAAAAAAAAAAGGAGCAAACTAATCAGTTTGACAATGACCTGAGGAAAAATATTTGTAACATATTATAGGTGAAGGATTAACATTCCTGAAATATAAAGAACTTTACAAATAGAGAAAGGAATGGCCAGTAAACCTATTCAAAAAGGGGTGGGAGGTGTGAAGAAATGAAAAAAAAAATAACCTCAGGAAATAAATGCAAATCACTTACAAACATATGGAAACATGTTCTGCCTCCTTATAATTAAAAAATACAAATTAAACCTGTAATACCATTTCTCAATTATATAGATAAGATATAAACATTTGACAACATACTCTGTTGGAGGGAGGTGGGGGAAACAGGCACTCTTAATCCTTTACTGATCATTACACAAAATAATACTGCCCCTATTAATGAGAATTTGTCATCAAATTCTCCCAAAATTACTTGTGTATTTGCCTACTGATTCAACTATCCCTATTGTTCACCAGAAAACATTCTAAAGATATAACTTAAAAAAGACTAGGCTTCCAACAACAAATATCAAAAAGATTTATGCACAAAACTATGCTATTCTAGCATTATTCATAAGCAAAAGACTGGAAACAACCAAAATATCCATCAAAAGAGTTGCTGAATAAACCAAAGTACAGTATGAAGCTGAAAAAAAAAAAAAAAAGACTATTTCTATATACTACTAAGGTATGGCTTCCAGAATATTTTTAAAATTTTTTTTTTCTGGAGAGGTTTTTGCTGTAGAGCGCATGCTCGCCAGAAAGACAGAGAAAGACAGAGACAGAAAGTGAGAAATCACCCCCCTAAAGGGTGGCCATGCTGCAGTCCTTTCTTCTCCATTCTTCTCTTGGGATCTTGGGTACACACACACACAAACGCACACATGCCCGGCATGAGTTCAATCCACTGGGCCAGGACTCGAACCACAGTCGACTACATGGGAGTCCAGTGACATAGCCATTATGCTAACTGCTGATCCCATTTCCAAAATTAAAAAAATAATAATAATAATAATTCCAGAGAGTACGTGTATCACCAGAGACAGAGAGAAAGGTACAGGGAGAAAACACCCTGATAAAGAATGGTCACACTGGGAACCAGCAGGTGGCATGGTGGTTAAGGTGCTGGACACTCCCACATGGCTGACCACCATTCAAGTACCGGACCTGGAGGCTTGCTTTCTCACTCCCTTTACCTCCATGTGTCTCTCTCTACTCAAATTAAAAAATAAAATGAATGAATAAGTGAAATTAAATAAAAATAACTCTTAAAAAAAGAAAAAAAGAATAGTCACACTACATTCCCTCTCCCTCCTTTCCAGATTTTAGGCATAGATGCACACAGGCCCTGCAAGCTCAGCTGTTTTTCAAGCCCCCAATTAGACTTGAACCATGTGGTTGGACCATATGGGATCCAACTTCCTTAACTACTAGGCTGACCCTCAGAATACATTTTTTTAAAAAAGAGTGGATAAACGGCTATGGTGTAAAATTGACATGCAGTAGATTATGTATATTTAAAATACACAGTTTAGAGCTAGCTAGTGACATAGTGATTGGGGTGGCTAGATCCCACAAGACCAACTGCACCATCCAAGCCCCAGACCCAGTGGCCTGAAGGACACACAAGGTGCACATGCATGCGTTCTCAACATCCTCAGGAGAGAGTGAGATGGAGACGGAATTGCAGTGTGACCATGCCCTACAGGGGGTGCTTTCTCCCCCTCTACCCGCTTTGTGTTCTCTGGTGAGCATATGTGCCCTCTGGCAATTACTGCAGAAAGGAAGGAGGGAAGGAAGAAACGAACTTCATATAGCCTAAGCCTACGGTATCTATAAAGTCTATAGTAATGTACAGTAAGTCCTAGGCCTTCAGAGTCACTCACTGATTCACCCAGAACAAACTTCCAATCCTGCAAGCTCCATTCATATGAAATGCCTTATACAGGTGTACTTATTTGTTTAAATCTTTTTTTTTTTTTGAGAGGTTTTGCTGGGAGACAGAAAGCCAGAAATCACCCCCCAGGGGGGATGGCCCCGCTGCAATCCCTTCTCCTCCATTCTCTTCTCCGGATCTTGGGCACCACATGCACACACACCTGGTGTGAGTTTAAGCCACTGGGTCTGGGACTCAAACCGCGGTCAACTACATGGGAGTCCAGTGACATAGCCATTATCCCAACTGCTGGTCCCTATTTTTTAAAAAAAATCTTTTACACTGTATTTTCACTGTACTTTTTCTGTATTAAGATGCATGAATTCTTACCAATGGGTTACAATTGCCCATGGTATTCAGCACAGTAACATATTGTATAGGTTTGAAGTCTAGGAGCAATAGGCTATCCCGTCTAGCCTACGTATTTAGTAGCCTAGATTATCAAGGTACGTGTCAGTACGCTCTTAGAATGTCTGCACAGTGATGAAATCACACAACACACTTCTCAGAACATATCCCCATCATAAAACGTATGACCGTATGTGAAAAAAACGGTTTTTCAGGTAGGGAACAAGAGGCAGCACACAACTGACCCTTGAGAGAAGGGAAACAGGTGAGCCCCATGATTACCCAGATATCTAGCTGGAGGCACTTTCTAGACCTCAGTGCAGGGAAGGGGAACCCAAGCAGATTATACCAATATCTCTGAAGAAGTGAAGATCAGAGTTCAGGGAAATGGACATGACTGAAATATGCCTGAATAATGCCTCAGTTAGAGGCTGAATTTCGAAGCAGTACCTATGTATAGTAAGTCTCTAAGGATGGCAAAGAGTAACTGAAAGAAGAAAAGAACTGTAAGCCAAACAATTCTGAGTTGACACAAGGGGAGGAGATATTCATAATCCAGCTAGCCACAGTGACTTGGCATAAAAAAGTATAGCCCGTAAGCATGTGAAAGTGCTTAATATCATTAGTCACCAGGAAATACAATTAAAATCAGAAAGCCATGACCAGGAGAATGGTAAAATGTAAGACTTATAACACTAAGTGCTAGAGGAGACATGGTCAACTGGAGGTGTCATGAATGGTGGAAGTAGACAATGATGGTCATTGAGGAGTATTGCCTGGCAGTAAGATAAAACACATTTGTTATATCATGTGACAATTTCACTCCTAGTATGAATTCCTTTATAGCATCAAACACACTTGAAATCTCATAATAAGAAAAACTAACCTACGATTCAAAAAAAAAAAAAATGTTATCAGGGATTGCCTGGAGTAGATGGTGAGGGGGATATACTGAGATAGTTCCTAAGAAACAGTTCTGAATGAAAGAAACATTTGATATCTTTATTATGGTTGTTTTTTAGTTAGTTTGTTTAGAGATTTTTTTGCTATAGGGCACATGAGCTTGCCGGAGAAACAGAGACAGAAAGTGAGAAATCACCTCCCGGGGGGATGACCATGCCACAATCTCTTCTCCTTCTTTCTCCTCTCTGGATTTTGGGCACACTCATACATGCATCTGATGTGAGTTTCAAGCCACCAAGTCCAGGACTTGCACCACAGTCAATCATGTGGGAGTCCAGTATCCTACTCACTATGCCACCTGCTGGTCTCTTACTATGGTTGTTTTTACATGGCTGTGTACATTTGCTAAAACTCACTGAATTGTATCCCTACAATGGGCATATTTACTACATGTAATTTAAAGTTTGAACAAGAACAATTTTAAAGAGAAGGGAAAGGGATTTTCGAACAAGTCAAACATTAAGGATATTAAGGATGATATCAAAGAATTGTTGTTAAGCAGGGCGATGGACCCATAAGTTCATTTTATTATTCTGTCTGCCTCTGTTTCTTTGAAAATTACCATAATACAATGCTAAAATAAAATAATAGTAGAGGTATAATTTCAAATATTTAAAGGATTATTATGTAGAGAAGAAATTAGACTCTATAGAAGAAATCATTCGAAGCAAAATTTGGAGTCAATATAAGAATGAATGGGCCAGCAGGTGGAATGGCGGTTAAGGCGTTGGATCCCACATGCCCGACCCTGTGGTTCGAGTTCTGTATCTACTGGCTTGAAAACATGCCAGGCATGCAATATGGTCTGCATGCCCAAGATCCTAAGAGGAGAATGGAAGAAAGAGATTGTGGCATGGCCATTCCCTGGCAGGGGGTGAGTGGGTAGTTTCTCTCTCTCTTTTTCTCTCTCTCTCTGAGCATATGTCATATATACTATTAAAAATATATTTTTAAAAAATCTATAAGAATGAGTTAGCTGAAGAGGAACATACAGCCTTGTAAGGTAGATGATTCATGCTAAGACTTGTTGATACGCAGGCCTCGTAACTACTCATCAGGACTGTAACAGAGGACACTACTGTGACTAGTGATAATGGGACTAGCCGCCTTCTAAGACCTCTTCCAATTCTAAGATTCCATTATTGATCATCTATTGAATGATTAATCTAACCTCTGGTGCAGTTACTCCAGTCAAATCAGCACCCCACTTCTCCCCAGTCCTATCCAATAATTACCTATAAGACTCAACATGTCACATAAACTAGTTCATATATTCTCCACTTCCCCAAATAATCAATGCGTTTTTGTCTTAAGTTTTTCAAAAATCAGAATCATGCTTTATATGTTTTAGAATCTTTTATTCCTACACTATGTCCTGTACCTTTGGGGCCATCAAAATGCTTTGCTGACCATCCTTTTCAAGCCAGCACTAGTAACATGGAGTACTTCTTTCCAGTCATTCATGTCTGTGTCTTTCCCTGTCCTACCCCATTCACAGGCAGAGTCCTACACCACTGTGTCCCCCAACTTAGGCCTAAAAAACAGGGATTTGTGCATACCTTGAAATACAACCAATACAAAGCTTCTCCCACCTGGAGGCTATTAAACTTTTCAAAGTGATAATGATTCATTTTGATAATTAAATTCGGAATTACGAGGCTGCCTTTGTCGCTGAAAATTTCATTATTCTAACTGCACAGGTCATGCACACCTTCACCCAGATGGCTATCACGACCACAGATGACCATAAGGAAAATGGAAATATGGTGGTTTTCCTCCACCTTTCCATCCTGGTGGCCTTTCTCCTGAATCCCCCAGGTATTCAACCTCTCTGCTTTGCCCTCTGACCATCCAAATGAGAATCAGGAGGGGGATGAGACCCTAAAAATGCCAGGCACTGAACCCGACACTGTACATTATTAAATCATTTAATTCTTACAACAATTAGAGTAGGTATTAACTATATTTTTCAGATGAGGAAGCTCAGTTCCAAGTTCAAACTTCCAAACAACAGCTTTAGAATACTGAAACCATATCATCCTGACTTAAAAACCCATGTGTTTTATAGAACAACAATAAGAACCTTCTTTCCTACACAAATCTTGAAATATGGAAATTACTCTTGATGAAGACAAAAGCCCTTCACTTCCAATTTTGGAAAGCCAGTGGATTCCTACAAGTTCCCAAGAAAAGCGTCCAATCTCAATAAATACCACAAGGGGGAGCTATGCCCCAAAATGTTTAGGTAAACTTCGAGACACATGAAATCCCTCATTTGGATCCTGACTCTTTAGAGATCAATCTGAATGAATATTCTACCATAAATAACTCTAAGATACAGAACTAACCTAGAGATCAATCTGAATGAATATTCTACCATAAATAACTCTAAGATACAGAACTGACCAGCCCTTTACTGCCTAAAACCGTCAAAGGCTCCCCACCATTAGCAGTCTAATCCCACTCACCTGGTATGGGACTGACTGCCTTTCCTTTGTGCCTGCCTCCCTCCAACAGACCACCTCCTTTTTTTTAAAAAAAAATTTTTTTTGAGAGGTTTTCACTATAGGGCGCTTGTGCTCCCCAGAAAGCCATAGAGACAGAAAGTGAGAAATCAACCCCCAGGGGGGATGGCCACACTGCAATCCCTTCTCCTCCATTCTCCTCTTGGATGATCTTGGGCACGCAGGCACACGCACCCGGTGTGAGTTTAAGCCACCAGGTCTGGTACTCGAACCACAGTCGACTACATGGGAGTCCAGCGACACAGCCCTTACACCACCTGCTGGTCCCAGACCACCTCCTTCTAACTACACTTTAACACCACTACCTACTCACGCTTGCCAGGCTTCCTCACATAACTTAGTCTTCGTGCCTCCACCATCTGACTACACGATGCCTTCATTCCCTCCCCTCACCTCATTCCTTCTACTCAACAATAACTATACAGCAAACTCTCATTTGCCCTTTAACTCTACTTAAAAGCAAGTCTCAGCTAATTGCTGACCTAATCTATTATCCTCCCACCAACACAAACCAATTTATTCAATAGACTATGTAACCATCAGGTAAATAGTTATTTCTGCCTAGATCACATTCTACTTCTAGGGAACGTCTTTAACCTCCTGCTAGGCTGAGAGGTCCTGAGGGGAAGAATGTTGTAGGTGTGCAAATGCCCAACCCTGCCAGGCAGCGCATCCTTGGAGCATGGGGCGAACTAAGAACTCATTAAAGCCATACACCTGTAGTTCATTCTAGATGCTATCTTCAAAGGACTGGGAATGATTTTTATAAGGACATTTTCTTCTCATGTTCAATATCAACTTAAAAATCATAATAATCAACATTCTAGCTGAAGAAATTATGTGTGTCAAACTTACCGTCTTAGTTAAATAAAACACGAAGGAATATATTAGAAGAACTATATTTTCCAAAGGTGTAACACTTCCTGGCTCTTCTGCATTTGTCTCTGGTTGCTTTTTTGCATCAACACCATCACCATCAAAGCCTTCTGTTGTAATGAGTCCTAAAGTTGAGTAGATATTTATGATTTAGAATAAAAATTGTTTCTTTTCATTTTATACATTTACTGAGTATCCACTGAATATTAACCACTGTGCTTGGAAAATATGGTTCCCCTAAAGACCATTACCTACAGGAATAAGCCTCAATTCCAATGAAAGCCATCACACCCTTCAATTATAAAATTAATATACCATTGGGCCAGTCAGTGGTCTGGTGATTAAGACAGCTGGATCCTACATGGTCTTCTGCATGGTTCAAGCACCAGATTTGGAGGTTTGAGAAACAAGTTGGGCACATGTGCATGTGTGCCCAGAACTTCAAAAGGAAGGAGAAATGAAAAAGGGATTACAGCATGACCATGCCCAATGGGGGATGCGTTCTTACTTTCTCTTTTTCTCTCTGTCTCTGGCAAGCACATGGACCCTCTGGAAAATTAGGAAAAAAGTACACTTCAAACCTACTCTATCCCTTGGGAACCAACGGTTAGCATAATGGCTATGTCGCTGGACTCCCACATAGTCAACCGCAGTTCACGTCCCAGACCCGGTGGCTTAAAACTCACGCAGGAAGCGGGCGCGTGCATGCCCAAGATTCCGAGAGGAGAATGGAGGAGAAGGGACTGCGGTGTGACCATCCCCCCTGGGGGGTGATTTCTCGCTTTCCGTCTCTTTGTCTCTTTCTGTCTGTCTGGCGAGCGCACGTGCCCTATAGCAAAAACCTCTCAAAAAAAAAAAAACCTACTCTATCCCATGAGCCCCGTCCCTTACCTCCCTGGCACTGCAACTGTATCAGAACGACATTTATTCATGGGCACTAAGGAAAACAGAATTTTGTACCTTCTCCGTATAGATACAGTCACATTCAACAAATATTTACTTAGTGCTAGTAGAACATTGTATTAAAAACTTCAGGAAAACAATTGCAGAAAAGCTGTGAGTCTTGGTTTGCATATCTGCAGATAGAGTGTACCAATGTTTACCACAGCCTCTGACACATGGCAGTGTTCAGTAATTGTTTACTGGGGCCAGCAGGTAGCATGGTGGTTAAGGCACTGGACTCCCACATGGCCAACCACGGTTTGGGTCCCAGACCTGGCAGTTTGCTTTCTCACTTTCCTCTTCTATCTCTCTGTCTCTCTCTAGTCAAATTAAAAGATACAAAAACAAATAAAGTTAAATAAATACTAATTCTTTAAAAAATACATAAATAATTGTTTACTAAATGGATGAATAACAGCTACATAAAGAAAATATGGTAAATGACAAGAGAGACTGAAGGGCATGGTTTATAGGGTAGGGAACTGGCCTGGAGGCTCTGTGCAAGAAATACGATTCCAGTTATACCTGAAGGGATTTCCCTTCAAGGAGCTAGGAATGAGGGGATTTCAGTAGGAGTTATATGAGTCTGGGGCATATTTTACAAACAGCTAGGAGTCCAACATGCAGTCAGTGAAACCTTACAAGTCTATTCACTATTGATCTAGTAAACTTGATCTCTGGTGAAGCTTTCCCAATCAGGTCAGCATCCCAGTGCCTGAGATGTATAAAGTCACATTTGGGAAGATTTGCCTGAAAAGATTGTTAATAACATTATACAGAAGAACTTAAAGGAGAGGGGGAAAAAATGTTCTCAATTCTTTTTTTTTTTTTTGAGAGGTTTTCACTCTAGGGCGTGTGCGCTTGCAGAAAGACAGAGAGAGACAGAGAGACAAAAAGTGAGAAATCACTCCCCAGGGGGGATGGCCATGCCGCAATCTCTTCTCCATTCTCTCAGGATCTTGGGCATGCACGCACATGTGCCCAGCGTTATTTAAGCCACTGGGTCCGGGACTCGAACTGTGGTCGACTACATGGGAGTCCAGTGACATAGCCATTACGCCAACTGCTGGCCCCCAAATTTTCTCAATTCTATAAACAGGATTTTACCCCAATTCTGAAAGTTTGGGGACAAGAGAGTAACAAGTCTTAATGATGCATAACTCATCTTGAATAAGCAGAAGGTTTCTGAGTTAAAGACAATTTAGAAAAAATAAAGACAGTTTAGAAGTAGAAAGCATTACATCTGAATGTAATGTCCTCTGGATCATGAGAGCCCTCTGATCCATAAGTCATTCCTTCTCAAATCAGCTGTTAGCATAATGGCTATGTCGCTGGACTCCCACGTAGTCGACCGCGGTTCATGTCCCGGACCCGGTGGCTTAAAACTCACGCCGGGCGCGTGTGCGTGCGTGCCCAAGATCCCGAAAGGAGAATGGAGGAGAAGGGATTGCGGCGTGACCATCCCCCCCTGGGGGGTGATTTCTCGTTTTCTGTCTCTATGTCTCTCTCTGTCTGTCTGGCAAGAACATGCGCCCTACAGTAAAAATCTCTCAAAAAAAAAAAAAAATCAGCTGAATTCCTGTCCCTGCTGTGACTTCTACTTAGGGGATGTTGTCAGCACAGTGCCCGCAAGCTCCACAACGTTACAAAGTAACACTATGCCTATGCTCATAGCCTAGAACCTCTAAAAACACAAAAAAATAGGACCGCCAGGTAACTCAAATTGTTAAGGAAGAAAGACCCATACGGCTGACCACGGTTCAAGTTCTGGCCCTTGTGGTTTCAGAAGCCTGCCTGATGCAAGTCCACACGTGCCCAGAATCTTGACCAGGAAGGAGGTATAGTGAAGGGGGCTGAAGCATGACCATGCCCCATTAGGAGGGGACTTGTCTCTCTTTCTCTCCTCTCTCTCTTTCTCTTGTGAGCAGTGCATCCTCTGGCAAAGAATTAAATAAATTTAAAAAAATTAAAAACACAAAAAACAGTAGGGCTAGCAGGTGGCATGATGTTTAAGTTGCTGGATCCCACATGGCCGACTCTGTAGTTCGGCAGCTTGAGGGACACACTACGTGTGTGTGTGTGTGTGTGTGTGTGTGTGTGTACACCCAGGGTCCTGAGAGGAGATTGGAGAAGGGATGTGGCACAGTCACATCCTGTCTTTCTCTGGCAGGCATACATGCCCTATGGCAAAAATCTAAAACACACATACACACAAAATGATACCATCATGTCACCACATTAGATAGGCAAAATAATTCAATCAGCTATTCTTCTGAAGTGGTAAAATGAGAGTGAGCAACACAAAGATGAGAAAGCGGTTGATATCACCATTGCAGTTTGTTTGTTCTTCAAATTGTTCAACAATTTTCTCATCTCCCACCAGATCCTTGTTTACTATGCATTGTGATGAAGCACAAGTACCCTGGACTATTACACACCACAATCTTCTGTAGAGCTTCCTACTGCCTCCAAGTATGAAGATACCCAGAGGCCTTCATTGTATTTTTAAAAGTTTTCTTTGTGAGTTCAAGAAGCCAATAAATAAATAAATAAATAAAAATCTGTGTTACATTGTTTCATATTGAAGGGAAAAGGAAGAAATGGTGAAGATACTGCAGCAGTGGTGCCTCAAACTCTACCATGTACCACATTAGACACCCTGAAGGGCCTATTAAGCACAGACTACTGGTCCCCACCCCCAGAGTTCCTGAGGCTGTCAGTCTGGTTAAAAGCTACTGTTTTTGAGCATAAGGCTTTTTAAGAATAATATTTTAGATTAAAATTATTTACACGTGCTAGTGAGAGCTAGACACTTATTTGTAGGCTAGTTAACAGTTTCTGACTTCCTTTCTACCACTGAGCTCCATCTGTCTTAACTCCTACTTTTCTTTCTCGATCTTTTTTTTTAAGCTCATATGAGGAATCTTCAAAAAGTTCATGAAAAATGCATATTATAAAAATGTCAAGAGGAGAATAGAGAAGAGATTGTGGCATGGCCATCTGCCCGGGGTGAGATCTCACACTCTCTCTCTCTGTCTTTCTCTGGCAGGCATACATGCCCTATGGCAAAAATCTAAAACACACATACACACAAAATGATACCATCATGTCACCACATTAGATAGGCAAAATAATTCAATCAGCTATTCTTCTGAAGTGGTAAAATGAGAGTGAGCAACACAAAGATGAGAAAGCGGTTGATATCACCATTGCAGTTTGTTTGTTCTTCAAATTGTTCAACAATTTTCTCATCTCCCACCAGATCCTTGTTTACTATGCATTGTGATGAAGCACAAGTACCCTGGACTATTACACACCACAATCTTCTGTAGAGCTTCCTACTGCCTCCAAGTATGAAGATACCCAGAGGCCTTCATTGTATTTTTAAAAGTTTTCTTTGTGAGTTCAAGAAGCCAATAAATAAATAAATAAATAAAAATCTGTGTTACATTGTTTCATATTGAAGGGAAAAGGAAGAAATGGTGAAGATACTGCAGCAGTGGTGCCTCAAACTCTACCATGTACCACATTAGACACCCTGAAGGGCCTATTAAGCACAGACTACTGGTCCCCACCCCCAGAGTTCCTGAGGCTGTCAGTCTGGTTAAAAGCTACTGTTTTTGAGCATAAGGCTTTTTAAGAATAATATTTTAGATTAAAATTATTTACACGTGCTAGTGAGAGCTAGACACTTATTTGTAGGCTAGTTAACAGTTTCTGACTTCCTTTCTACCACTGAGCTCCATCTGTCTTAACTCCTACTTTTCTTTCTCGATCTTTTTTTTTAAGCTCATATGAGGAATCTTCAAAAAGTTCATGAAAAATGCATATTATAAAAAACCTATGCATGGATTTCCTTTTTTTTTTTCCCCCTGGCACCAAAACAAACTCATACTTCAATTCCATGTTCCAGGGAACTTTTTGAAGTCCCCTTGTACATATCTGTATTATACTCCCCATAGCCTACTTCTGATAACTACTCTCCTGGAAGGTCTTCTTTATGATACCCCTCTATTTTGTAGAGAAAAACTAGCAAGCTTTACCTGGGTCTAAGTCCTTCTCAGTATTCGGCTTCTGTGACACTTCCAAGGTGACCATGTCCCTAGTGATGGGCTGATCCAAGGGGCTGAAATTTTCAGGAACCTGAGGATCAGGATCTTCAGTACTCTCTGGTGGGAAATGATCTTCCTGTGGTGGCTGCACCTCTACAGGGGAGGAGAAATACATTGGGTGAGCTCAGCTTGATGGCACCACAAGCTGCTCTAATCCCACTGACCAACACTGTCCTCCATGTCCTGGCAGCCTGTGGGTACAGCTAGACAGGGAAATCAAAGTATTGGTTTCTTTCATCCCACTTAATAGAAGAGCAATAAATTCACAAAAAGCCTGTATTTCAAAAGTATTTCATAAATAAATATATAAGAGTATTTCAAAAGGTTTTTGGAAAAATGGAATTAAAGTAGGAATTTATTTTGGTACAAACATTTTTTTTCTTTTTTTGGAGGTTTTTGCTATAGGGTGCATGTGCTCGCCAGAAAGGCAGAGAGAGACAGAGAGACAGAAAGTGAGAAATCACCCCCCAGGGGGAATGGCCATGCCACAATCCCTTCTCCTCCATTCTCCTCTCAGGATCTTAGGCACGCACACACACGCACCCAGCATGAGTTTAAGCCGCCAGGTCCGGAACTGGAACTGTGTTGACTACATGGGAGTCCAGCAACATAGCCATTAAGCTAACTGCTGGTCTCCTTTTGGTGCAAACATTAAAAAAAAAAAAAAAAATATACGCATATTTTTCAAAATACACTTTTCCCATGAGTTAAAAAAAAAAAAAAATCTACGCATACTTTTCATAATACACGTTTTCCATGAGCTTTTTGAAGCCCTTTAATTTATGGTAAGGATTTCAATAACTTAAGTTCCCTTGGCAAACTCATATGCCCGAACAAATAAGTGTGCTAAAGAAGGATTCCAATCAAGAACAGAAACGTGGCACCTGCCCTGTGGCCTAGTGGTCAAGGGAGCTGAGTGTTATATAGTCAATTGCACAGTTTTAGTCCCAGCCCTGGCAGATAAAAAATAAGCCAGGAGAGGGGCTGGCAGGTGGCATGGTGGTTAAGGGCGCTGGACTCCCACATGGCTAACCACCATTCTGGTTCCAGACCTGGAGGGTTGCTTTCTTACTTTCTCTCATTCTGTCCCTCTTTGATCCAATTAACATAAATAAAAAATAAATAAAGTTACATAAAATAATTCTAAAAAATAAATAAGCCTGGAGAACAAATGTGCATGTGGGCGCCAAAGTCCTGATAAGGTGGACAGATGGAGAAGAAGGGATTATGGTATGACCAGACCCCATTGGAAGGTGCTTTCTCCCTCTCCCTTTCTCTCTCCCTTTCTCCGTCTCTCTCTGATGAGCGGATATGCTCTTAAACAGGAAAAAAAAAAAAAAAAAAAAAAAGAATAGAAATGTGAAATGCCTGTTCTTCACAGAAATAACATGAACTCTTTCATACACAAACACGCTTATCTCAAAGCCAGCACAAAGAAGGGCACTCCACGCAAAGGCAGTTTTGCTGAAGCGCCTTTCAAATACTTTCTTTTCTCCTTTAAAGATGTATTTGTTTTTTATTTTATTTATTATTATTCTTCCATTTTAACCAGAGAGTGACAGAGAGAAAGGGAGTGTGAGAAAGCAAGCCACCAAGTCCAGGACTTGAGCCATGGTTGACCATATTGGAGTCCAGCAGCTTTACCACACCACCTGCCGGCCCCTCAAATACTTGCAAAAAGAGTGAACCCAACTCATTCCCAAATATACTTAGGGAACATGGGACCAGCAATTGGCATAATGGCTATGTCGTTGGACTCCCATGTAGTCGACCACAACCTGGTGGTTTAAACTCACACTGGGCACATGTGTGTGCGTGCCCAAGATCCCGAGAGGAGAATGGAGGAGAAGGGATTGCAGCATGGCCATCCTCCAAGAGGGTGATTTCTTACTTTTTGTCTCTCTGTCTTTCTGGTGAGCGCATGTGCCCTATAGCAAAAACCTCTCAAAAAAAAAAAAAGAAAAAAAAGAAAGAAACTCCGGGAACAGTCCAATATAATTCACAGCAAAGATGAAGTTTTTTGCAGTCTCATATTTTAGCCTGAAAGTTCATTTGAATTTTGCATTCCTGTCCAAAATACATCTACTTTGATTAAATGCAAAATTGTTCTTCTTTCCCAGGCCCTAGGAAAAATTGGCACTCTGGGGAGATACATATTCCTGTGGCTTTATGTCCTCCAGTACTCTAGAATTTACCCACAGTTTGAATAGTTTTGTTAGAAAAGCAGGAGTATAGAGAATAGAACATAAAACTAGAAATCAGAACACTTAGGTCAGGAGTTAGGATCAGGGTCAATTCAATCAATCTTTACTGAACACATTTTATGTGTCAAGGGCTGTGTTAGAAGGCTTGTCATCCTGCATCCATCCTTGATCAATCCAAATGCAAGAACCCAAGGGCCCATGAGAGTTAGCTGGACTAAGTGACTGCTCCCAAAAGGCAGGAAAAAACATGCCATCCACAAAATTTTAAAGTTGGGGAAATGAAGAGACTCAGACAAGACATTAATTTGCAAGTCATGCCAGTCAATCTTCATTTAGGGAGTGGTTACCTTACAATTAGAAATTGTCAGTAAAACCCTTTCATAATTTTACATGAAATCTGTACTTGTTAATAGGCCTACTTTGCCCAACCTTTTCTTCTTCCTCATATTTTGCTTTAACTTTTTTTTTTTAAATCAAGTTTCTCCTTGAAAATGCCAACCAGTCTCAACTGTCCTAAGAGAAAATAGAGTAAGAAATCCTTCTCCATGTTGTAGCTTAAAAGAAAGTCAGGGGGCCAGCAGGTAGCATGGTGGTTAGGGAGCTGGACTCCTACATAGCAGAGCATGGTTCAAGTCCTGGACCTGGTGCCTTGTTTTCTCACTTTCTTTCTGGTCAAATTTTTAAAAATAGTAATGATAAATAAATAAATAATTCTTTAAAAGAAAGGAAGAAGGCAAGGAGAGAGGAACATGTGGGCCTCCTTCTATTATATTATCCCTCTCCTTTAAGCACACTAGAAACTGTAAACAGAGCTTTACAACTAAGAATGTGGCACTTCAGTGAGACCTCCCCACGGCCCCCCACCTAATCCCAGCTCTACGAGGCCACAGGCAGGTACTTTACCTTCGGCTGTTCCACCCCAGCTTTCCTCTAGAGGTGGTGCCATTACCAGCGGGGCAGTCTCCACTGTGGAGTGCTTGTACCTGACAAAATAGATCAGGTCTTGAATGTCATCTAGCACTGCGGCCTCTTCAAATATATTATCTTCCTTTATTCCCAGATCTCTATTTTTAGTCACACGCGTATCGAGCATTTTCTCGGCTACACTCAGAATGTGTGACTCAGAAGCACGGAAGACTTTATCTAGGACCTTTTCCACATTATAGGGCAGGCTCTCCTGCTGTGCTGACTTCAGCTTGAGTGACATTTCTTGTAGCATGGCTTCCAGCTCATGCACATCAAAGTACTTCTGGAACCGCTGCCAAGACTGCTCTTCTTTGAAGAAGCTGCTTATGATAGGCAAGTCCTCCCTGTGCTCTGGCTCTCCACTGGGATGTGGAGGCCAGTGGAACAGGTCATCCTCCAGTTCTTCAGAAGTGGATACCTGGCTCTCTGTGTCCAGGAATTTCTTTGTATTCTCATGGTTGTCTTTTGAGAGTTCTTCTCCCACAGGCTTCTCTGCAAGCCCTGAGGTCTTCACATGCTCCTCAAGACTGGCTTTTTTCAGATAATCAGAATCTTTGTTCTGAAACACTTCATCTAACTCTGGAGTCTGAGGATTTTTCTTGCCAGGAAATTCGCTATCAGCTGGTCTCTGGGCCATCTTATCTAGCAGAGGGCTCCGCTCTTTTTCCACTACCATACTGCCTGGTTCCCTGCCTTTTGTGTCTACCCCTTTGACAGCAGTTTCACTTTTTTTTTCTATCTCCGAAATCATACTAGTGTCTTGTTTGTTTTCTTCAGTGTCTTTATTAGGATTTAAGGCTCCTAAAATTGGTCTCTCAGGGACTTGTAGAGTAACATCTAACCACCTGTCCTGAATCCCAGGGATTTTTTCTTTTTGCTGTTTTGCACTTACAGCATTTTCATCCTCCAGTAGTTCTTCAGGAGGATAATCGTCCTCTTCCACATCTGGCTTTTCAGCATGGAAATCTGGTCCTTCAGAGCTATCAGTTTGATCTAGTTTTTCCATTTCCTGTGAGCTCTGCATTGCCTTGTGATGAACCAACTTTGTGTCTAAGGACTCCTCTTTGACCTCGTTCTCAGAAAGCCTGATCTTCTCATTCACTTGCTCATTAGCTGCAGGAGCCACATCTCTTTCTTGTTGCCAGGAGAGATTTCCTCCCAGGACGGGAACCTCTTCTTCCAGCTCTCTTGGCAGACCAATTCCATCTGGAGAGGAGAATCTAGATTGACCCTGGGTTTTAAGAACGTGTTTCCCCTTAAGTTCTTCATGTTGATGGTCCCCTGAAAGCATATGTGGTTTGGGCCCACCGACAGAAACATCTACCTCCTCCATGCTGTCTTCAGATGTATTATGCTGATTGTCTCCCAGGAGTGGGGCAGTTTCTAAGGACTCCTGTTTAATCTTTTCTTCATGTATTTGATTCTCCACAGCTTTACGAACTGATTCACTCCCTGAGTCACTATCCAAAATCTGCTCTCGAGGCTTTTCTTTGTGAAACATTTCTTTAGAAATAAGAACAGCTGCTCCTTCAACGTCATCTTTGTCATCCAAGGCTACAAGTAAGGTGTCTTTACCTTGCTCAGCAGCAAGCAAAGGGCTGAAGTCACTGCTGTAACTGTGCCTAGCAATCCCTTCTTGCTTCTCTGATTCCGCCTCCTCTGGCACCAGATCCCTCTTTGATTTCTGAACTTCCCTCCCTTTTCCTATAATGTGAACTTCCATGTCCATTTCTGGGTCATTATTTATTTTAGGGATGTCTACAACTGAAAGATCATCTTTTGCATTTTCTGGGTCAGCATAATCTGATTTTGGCCATGGTTTCCCCTGTTTGCTCTCTGGGATTAAGGTATCATCCTCTTCCTTCTCTTCTTCTGAATTAGAATTCTCAAAATCCATCATCCCTGTTTTATCTTCACCTCCTGTGACAATAGAAAAGATCGTATCCCCCCAGGTTGTTAATATATTTTTATCATCATTTTTGAGGCCAGGGGGCAGAGTTACTTCAACCTTACTCTCTTCATTTGGATTCTGCTCCTTCTCTGTTGAATATTTCTCAGCTCTAGCACTTGCTGGAGTTTCTGGTCCTTCTCCATCTATAAAGGTTAATAATGGTAGTTCATCCAAGTTTTCCTTATCCTCCTCTTCTTCCTTATCAATTGCATAATACTCAGTTTCTAAGTCCTCATCAAAATCATCTTCTAAAGAAGTAACAAGCCTGGTTGTTTCATCATCAGAGACAAGTGCATCGGCAGTTGAACCAAATTTGGTTTTTAAGTCCAGAGTCATTTCTTTTTTCAAAAGTGTGTAAGCGTTGATCTCCTGCTCACGTGAGACCAAAGAACTATTGCCAGTTTTATTGTTTTCACTTTCCGGCACTTTGAAATTATCCTGCAGCATTTCTTCAAAAGGTTCAAATGAAGACTGTTTGCCCTGAGTATTTTCTGTTTGACTGTTTGCATGGATTTGGTTCTTCTGAGCAGTCAATTGTTCCTCGTGATCCTTAGTGTTTTCTGAGAATGTACTTTCACTCTCCTCTGAGATGGCTTCTTCTGGTTCAGGCTCTGGCTCAGGTTCAGGCTCAGGCTCAGGCTCAGGCTCAGGCTCAGGTTCAGGCTCAGGCTCACTTTCCTTAGATTTTTCGGGAGGTTTTTCCACGTGCTGAGAAGTCTTTTCTAGAGATTTCTCCAAATCTCCAGTGGCAGAATTGTACAATTCCAAAAACCCTAAAAGTTCTTCTACATTATAGTTATCAAAATCATCTCTTCCCCCATCAAAACAAACAAAATCTGTCTCCTGTAAGGGAAAGAAAAACATTAGTGTGTCACCAACCAAATGTCAGAAGAGCAAATGCTTATCCATGCTAAAGACAGATACCTAATTCATGTTTGGGCTTTTGTGCCCATCTGGCACAGTGGGAAAAAGGAGACCAGAACCCAATTTTCCCACCCTGGCTTCCCTTCGTCTCACTTCCCCAGAGGAAGAAAGACTCACATCTTGTGAGTGAGTTTGCTCAGCAACATCCCTTTTCTGTTGGGACAAGAAAACACATTGCGGAGACTAGCAGATGGCGTAATGGCTACGTCACTGGACTCCCATGTAGTCAACTGTGGTTCAAGTCCCAGACTCAGAGGTTTAAAACACATGCCAGGTGTGTGTGTGCATACGTGCCCAAAATCTCAAGCAGAGAACAGAGGAGAAGGGATTACAGCATGGCCATCCCCTGTGGGGAGGTGATTTCTCATTTTCTGTGTCTGTATTTCTCTCTGTCTCTCCAGCGAGCAGATACACCCTATAGCAAAAAAACCTTTCTCTAAAAAAAGAAAGCAAGCACATTCTGCTCCTCCATGCTATCAGTTATACAGGGATAGTATCCCCTGGGGAGGTCCCTAGGGGCTAGCTCTGTCTATGACTGACTAAGTCTGTCTTGCTCTAGACTGTAAAGTCAGAAGGCGCTTCATTTCTGCACACTTTGGTCATATTCTTAAAAAAAAAAAAAAACTTAATCAGTAAATAATGGTGACATTTTGGTCTCCATCTGCTTGACTCCCAGGTTTCTCAATTCGTTTTGAGCGCAGGTAGAAAAAAGTAGCATGGAATTCATTGGATCCTATACTTTCCAATGTCTATAAAGAAAGAAAGAAAGGAAGGAAGGAAGGAAGGAAGGAAAACTAGTAGAACAAAAATTAGCAATACACATCATAATGTGGTATTCTTGGATGAAAAACAATGAATATAGTTATTATTCTTGATTTGATCATCACACATTGCATGTATACCTTGAAAGTCCATATTATACCCTACAATAATGGACAAGAATTTAAAGTAAATAAGAAATTATAAAATAAAATAGAAAAAAAAAATCCATGTCTGATGTTCTGGGAATTCACGTTCTAATCCTCTGTCCAGGAGAAGCTAGAAGCCCATCCAGCTTCTCTGTACTCTCTCCACTATACTTCTCTGTTCTACCAGTTAGAAACAGGCAGACTGTCAAGCTCTAAGTCAACATGGGATGTTGGCTCACATTTTCTTTGGATTAGGAAAGATAAATCAGTTTAAGACGGGTCTTACTGAGACACAAGTTCATGGAAGTAAAAATGTAAAGGGAGAAAGAACGATGTCAAGGAGACCTCTCCACTTTACTATTATTACAAGAAAACTTGAAAACCAGACTCAGTAAAGTTTGTACCTTACTCTAAATCAGAGCTCTCAGCAGTCCCTAAGACCTGCATTCAGGGCTACCTGTAAACCTTTAGTCTTTCTTTCCTTCACTTATTAAGTGAATTGACATACAAGGAGCCATCAGCTAAGGGAGAAGTTCAAAAACTCACAAGGATAATCTTTTTCTCCAACTACACTTGCACACTATTTCAGGGAGACCTGTCTAGTGCAATAAGGCTGAATGTTTTCCTCCTTCCACCACAGGCAATTCTGAATCATTTTCTTAATAACACGGGTAGCATGCAGTGGGAGGTACAATAAGAAAGGCAGAATCCCAACAGGTGAGGTCTCTGTGACCAATGAACTGCTGTCTCACACTTAGATCACAGGCTTTCTGGTCATCAGCAGTGATGCAAACAGGCAACAGGGCTGATTTTATGGCCCCCAAGATTACCAACAAATTTTAAGCTTAGCAATAGCTCTGTGACTTCATCCAATCTGCCTGTCTCATCTAGAAATTGCCCTGGCTCTGCAGTTTGCACATGCTGCAGGAGCTTCAAAGACTTTTGAATGAAGGTGGGCAGCAATTACTGCAAAACGTAAAAATCCATAAATAACCAGCTGGAATAAGGAATCCAGAATGCAAAATCCTTTAGTCACAAAACCATCTGAAGTCTGTGCACCACAGATGAGTGCTTTATAGAATGTGCAGTCAGGGCCTTCCAGATTGAGGTGGAGCCATGCCCCAAACTCTCAAGTTCCCTTTTCCAAACTTGTAACATAACTATAATCCCTTTAATCACTAAAGAATCAATATAAGAGAATCCTTATAAGTTTGTCTTTCTGGCCCACTAAATATTTTGAGGGGTTTTTGTTTTTTAAGAGAGAGATTTTTGCCACAGGGCACAAGCACTTGCCAGAGAGACAGAGAGAGAGAAAGTGAGAAATCACACCCCCACCCCCACCCCCAGGGGGATGGCCATGCCACAATCCCTTCTCCTCCATTCTCCTCTTGGGATTTTGGAATACACACACACTGGCCTGGAGTGAGCTTTAAGCTACCAGGTCTGGGACTCGAACTGCAGCCAATTACATGGGAGTCTAGTGATGTAACCATTATGCCATCTGCTGGTTCCAATAATTTGAGTTTTGATTAATTTAATCTGATATCTACATACTTAACATACCTAATAGCTACTCAATGAGTAGTTCTCAAATTGGGACACCTTCTCCTTTGGCTTGTAAAATGAAATTATTTACCTCTTACATAGTTAATAATTAAACATAATGATATTGAATTCCCTATTGTAACTAACTATAATGCTATTGAATAATGAAATATGATGATACTGAATATGATTTACATAAGAATATCTGCTTCAATACACTTAGATAATTTTGATAATCTAATCAGATTATGGCATATAGTTCCCTTTCATTTTTTCTTTCTTTTTTTTTTTTTTTTGGAGAGGTTTTTTGCTATAGGGTCTTTTTTTTCTTTTGAGAGGTTTTTACTACAGGGTGAATGTGCTCGCCAGAAAGACAGAGAGAAACAGAGAGATAGAAAGCGAGAAATCATCCCCCAGGGGGGATGACCACGCCACAATCCCTTCTCCTCCATTCTCCTCTTGGGATCTTGAGCACAGACGCACACGCGCCCGGCGTGAGTTTAAGCCACCAGGTCTGGGACTCAAACCGTAGTCAGCCACGTGGGAGTTCAGCGACATAGCCATTACGTTAACTGCTGGTCCCAATTTTTTCTTTTTTTTTTTTTTTAACTAAAGGTACTCTGATCCCAAATTAAAATCTGATAAACAATGCTAACTTTTTCTTTCCTTCAACCTAAAGATATTGAAAAGCTTACAGAAATAGTTAACTCAATATGGCTGATATAGTTATATGTCAATTTATAACTGAGAACAACAAAGAACAACAAAGAAATCCACAACTTACATCTGCCGGAACTTGTAGCTCTTCTTTAGTATATTCATGGACTACCTTAACTAAATCCTTTGGAAAATATCCAAAAATACGTCCAACCTATATAAAGTATGAGCAAAAGAAACAAATATCAAACACATTCTCTATGAGGAAAGTAAATGAGAGACTTCCTAGTAATAACAGGAAATACATATCTAGGTTGGTAGGTAGATATAACCAACACAGACAGACAGTTGCTATTACAATTACAATGAGAGTTACTAGTTCAATAAAAATTAAGTACAGAATTCAATTTGTTATATCTTAGAATGTTGTAAAGCCAATGTTTCTAAAACCATTGAACTCTTCTTTTATATATTCAGCTTAATTCTAAACATAGGGTATAAAAAGTTAATTTCAGAAGTAGGTAAAAGATCTCCTTATAAGAACAATATTGTATATTCATATGGGGCTGGCAGGTGGCGTGGTGGTGAAGGGCACTGGACTCCCCACATGGCTGACCGTGATTCAAGACCTGGCGGCTTGCTTTCTCACTTTTTCTCTCTCACTCTGTCCTTCTCTGGTCATATTAAACATAAATAAATAAAGTTAGATAAAATAATTCTTTTTTTAAAAAAGAATAATATTTTATATTATATAATTAACACTATGCAGACCAAAGCAATTCCAGATAACCTCAGCAAGATTTACCTTAAACTAGTAAACAGCTATGAACATTAGTAAGTAAAAAAATACAGAATTTCTGAAATTACAATAATTTGTTTTGTAAATGTTTATTGGTATTATGTGCTACACTAGCTTTCTCAAAAACTATGCTACAATGAGGGAACCAGCAGTTAGCGTAATGGCTATGTCGCTGGACTCCCACGTAGTCGACCGCAG